TAAATTCTAAACTGTACGCCGGATAAGATCTGTAACGTTAATGTTATTTTATCCGAAACGCGGGAGTGATCAATGTTGGCTCACCGAGAGCAGTAAGTGTTTCGTTGTCAGAAAACTGCCTATCGCCCGGCGATAAAAACGAAACATTGAAAATACATTATGCGAACGTCGTCGTGGCAAATACGGTGGATCGTTAAAATGTTTGTTAGGAAAAAAAAGGAGCAAGAGAACTCCGTGTCCGTTCCTTTATTTGGTTCCCTTGGCAAACATCCATCTCGACGCGAGGTATTGAAACCATCTTTGCCTGAAAATATTACTTTGTCCCGAATCTTCGTTAATATATCCTCGCGGGGAACTTAATCGTCTTATTTTAGGTCCTTTGCTGATATATGATTCGTTTCTCGGAACTCTGACGTGAAAATTGCCTTTTTTTGTCCCACGAGTTTCGGAGCAGAGCCACTTGGTCTTTTTATTTCCCGAACAACGGACGTCTCTTTCTGTTGAGTTAGGTCCTTCTGATGATCTGTGTGGTCCCCTTACATAACTTAGATTTCGATTATTTATCGTACAATGAAATTCGTTGGTCAATAGAACCAGTGTAACATAGGTTACTTTAAATTTTGAAAGTTTCATTACTTTTCTTTAAAATAGTATGTTTTTTGTATTTAAGACGAGTATTTTCTCCAATTCTTTTTTCTTGAAAAAAAAGCAATATTTTTTCTTTCCACATTTTCTAAATAAAATTTTCGTCCACGTTGCACTTGTACTTGCACGATGAAACGTTGGTCGTAGGGGGATTACGGATTAGGCCGTTCACGAAATATGATTTATGCCGGCTTAATAGTTTCACAGCCTGCGCCTACGGGGGCCCCCTTAATCCTGTTTATTAACGTAAAGACGTTTCACGATGACGGGTCTATCCACGTGGAATCCAGGTATCGTCCATCGATGGGGCCACGTCGGCGATAAAGTGTCCCGAGTGGTTCGTAAAAATCCCCGCTTTCACTCGAAAACGCGTTTTCCCGTTTACTCCGGAACTCACGTGAGTACATACCCATTAACCCTTTCGCTCTTGGCGCGTTAAATTTAGCACGTTCAATTTCACGTGCTTCGAAAACAGAGTGGGGAGGCAATTTCACCTGTTGATTCGTGTTCCCCGACAGTCGACTTCATTAACCCGAATCTCGTCGAAATTACATTTAAAATTTGATTTGTTACATTCTCTGTAATCGATGGCGAACGCAAGGGAAGCTGGCAAGGGTTTACTCCTTCTATTGATTTATAAATTTTAATACTTCTATCTTCCTCTGTTCGAGCTCTTCGATCTTTCAAATCGTTAAAAATTAGCTTTGTCGGAGTGTAAAAAATTGCAAAACCAAATGGATCAACAGAGGAACTTGAATCCCAGATTGAAAGATTTGAAATAATTTATTTGTTCAAATTTTCGGTGTTGGGAGGGAAGATTGTTTAGGAAAGGGTCGATCAGTTCGATTTAAGGTTCTACTGTATCATATCGCAATATTTCGAACGTCCACACACGGGGTCCTTTGTTTCTAGTCACGCGCGCCCGTTACACGCTGCCCAAACTGCTTTTTTTCCCCCCTCTTTGGAAATCTCGGTCTTCTAGGAAACCACCAAAAGGATTGTCCTAGGGATCTGACCACCCACGTGGACTCTTGGCTTTACAGCTCCCCACAATGTCCGGATACAGGATATTTTCGGTAACCTTAAACCGCGAAATGTAGCACAAGATTATGCGGCCGTATCCTTCTTTTCCCTCGCGACGGGGTAAACGGTAGCACCAGGAAGCGCTGTGGGATTACCGACCTTGACGTAGGAGGTCCAGGAACGCCAAGAATCTCTACGTGAAACGGAATCATCTTTCTACTTAACGTTGCAATGATGCGTTGTTCAATGAATAAAAATATTAGTATTATCTGTGTCGTATAATACGATCGCGTATAAATCGAAAACAAAGGACGATGTTTTATTAAATCTTGCTTTAAAATACTGCCCAAAGACCCTGAATAGTGTGTAATGATTAGTAATAATAAAAAAACATACACAACAAAAACAATACCACAATGCAACGTTGCAATGTTTGTTGCGTTGTTCAATGTACAAAAATATTGGTACTATTTGCGTCGTATAATACGATCGCGTATAAATCGAAAACAAAGAGCGATATTTTATTAAATCTTGCTTTAAAATACTGTCCAATGATCCTGAATAGTGTGTAATGATTAGTAATAATAAAAAAACATACACAACAAAAACAATACCACAATGCAACGTTGCAATGATTGTTGCGTTGTTCAATGTACAAAAATATTGGTACTATTTGCGTCGTATAATACGATCGCGTATAAATCGAAAACAAAGGGCGATGTTTTATTAAATCTTGCTATAAAATGCTGTCCAAAGGCCCTGAATAATGTGTAATAATTAGTAATAATAAAAACCGTACACAACAAAAACAATACCACAATGCAATGTTGCAATGATTGTTGCGTTGTTCAATGAACAAAAATATTAGTATTATCTGTGTCGTATAATACGATCGCGTATAAATCGAATATAAAGGGCGATATTTTATTAAATCTTGCTTTAAAATACTGTCCAAAGACCCTGAATAGTGTGTAATAATTAGTAATAATAAAAACCGTACACAACAAAAACAATACCACAATGCAACGTTGCAATGATTGTTGCGTTGTTCAATGTACAAAAATATTGGGTACTGTTTGCGTCGTATAATACGATCGCGTATAAATCGAAAACAAAGGACGATGTTTTATTAAATCTTGTTTTAAAATACTGTCCAAAGACCCTGAATAGTGTGTAATAATTAGTAATAATAAAAACCGTACACAACAAAAACAATACCACAATGCAACGTTGCAATGATTGTTGCGTTGTTCAATGTACAAAAATATTGGGTACTGTTTGCGTCGTATAATACGATCGCGTATAAATCGAAAACAAAGGACGATGTTTTATTAAATCTTGTTTTAAAATATTGTCCAAAGACCCTGAATAGTGTGTAATGATTAGTAATAATAAAAAAATATACACAACAAAAACAATACCACAATGCAACGTTGCAATGATTGTTGCGTTGTTCAATGTACAAAAATATTGGTACTATTTGCGTCGTATAATACGATCGCGTATAAATCGAAAACAAAGAGCGATATTTTATTAAATCTTGTTTTAAAATACTGTCCAAAGACCCTGAATAATGTTTAATAATGAGTAATAATAAAAAACGTACACAGGAGGATTCTAACTTTTACGAAGAAGAAATTTATAAATCTTGTTGACCTTGAAATGACCTTGAATACCAAAATTATATTTGTACAGGAAAAAACAAAGTTAAAATTAACGTATACAATTTACACGTTTTAGCGAAATCTGTTATGTTATGTTTGAGAAGGTATTTAAAATGGATATGGAACAGTTCGTTTATATATTTTGTTTCAGAAAAAAACGGAAGGATCGAGCCTGTTTTTTCTTGAAATTGAGATTTGAAAGTATTTCTTAAAATCGACGAGTTTTAAACGAAACTTCTTTCAACTTTAATTTTTATTTATTTAACTGTTATTTATTGCGTTCGATTGCACCCGCTATTGCGAAGCGTGACCTATCGTTCAACGAAGGTAGCTGCATACTCAATCATCGGTAAAGAAGAATGCACGATACACTTTCAAGGTGGATTGTTTAAACTTTATATTGTTTTAATATTCGGTAAGAAGTTTCCAGAGATTTCTCGATTCATGCTATCATTTTCCATCGTTACGTAAATTCGAAACTTTTACTCGAAAGAAGATAAAACTGGACATAGACTCATAGTGCATTAAAATTGATCATACAATATTAAAATTATTTCCTTCAATAAACATTTACTCGATCGTTTAAGCTAAAGCATCGAGAAAAAAAACGAAGAAAAAAACATCGATAATTGAATTATTAACAGATTTAAAGTCGTGCAAAAAGGGCTAAAAAATATATTTTCACATATTGAGCCCCTCCTCCAAAGCTTCCTGGATCCATCTCTAAATTTATAATCCTGAGAGTCCCAACATAATTTTTCGATGTAAATCGCCTCTCGATAGTCCTGAATTAGCTCGAATTATCTCCTGTTTCATTGTACTGTCGGACAATTCTTTTCATTCAATTTTCTATCAACTTCTCGCCCGACGTCCGTCAGTAACAAAATAGGAAAAATGGCGCGTGTAATTCGATTGATTGCTATTATTACGGCGACAGGCGTGCAATTGATTGTAAATTGCAGGCCGGTGCCGTCGCGTCTGCGGGACTATTAGCCGACTTGAGTGTCACGTGAAATTGCGCCTGCCCGTAACAAGTAATTCGATAAGGCATGCACCGGGATTGCAGTTTGTTGCATCGAGCGCGCCGCGGCGTGCTAACCTATTCCGCGGGCAGGTTCTTGTGCTCGTTTCCCTTATGTAAAGAGACGTTGTTCCGTGTCAAGGATCGCGTTGAGTAATCGACTTTAAAGGATGACAGGATTTCTCGAGGGGCTCCTACTTATAAGGAACATCGTCCAATCGGCACCGATTCTGATGAAACTTGGCGCACAGAGAATCGAAAAACACTACAAAGAGTATCTCTACTCCTATTCGGGGCAGATTTAATAAGCTAGTTCCCGATAACTCGACGCTAATTATAAAAATAATCATTTCTATTCGTTCCCCACTTGTACCTCTCTTTTGTATCTTAACATGAACTCGCGTGCAATTGAGACGCGTCATTATTATAATTTTTAAGAAAATCACCCTCGAAATATTTATAATCTGCAAAATCAATAGAGGTAGAAAATAAACGTTGGATCGAAATATTCCGATTGCACGTAACAGGAATTTTATAAAATCGCCCGAAAATTACAAGCTTCGATTACGCTCGCATATTTAAAGTTCCCTCCATCGTTAATTTAGTCGAATTTTTATATATTCATACGTGGAATCAAACGTTTACATCGCAGGTATCGAGCTTTAGTCTATTGCTTTTTCTTTTGCTTCTTTCTCGAGATACTGATGCCGGTAAGTTCCCGTTGAATCGTACTTTGCCTCGAGGAGGCTCCAATCTTCCGATCTGTGATCGATCAAATAGTGGGAGATCTTGTCAGCGATTTCCTTTTGCTTCTCACTACAGGCCGAACAATCGTGCTCCAAGGCGTCGGGAAGATTTTCTGCAAACAAATAGACAATTATAAAACATAAGTTCCACGTACATCGATGCTGTTAAATTCTTAAAATAATGCGATAAAAGCAAGGAAATTTCATCGTGTTGTCAGCTCTTCGTGTGCATTTTAATTTCGTTTCTTTGTTCAATTTTAAATTTAAATTAATCGTTTTTTTTTGTATACAATTGGTATGAATAAATAGCATAGTTTCTTTACCATAAATTGGTTAATTTTATTTAGTATATTGAGTTGCACACGAAGAGAGACGATTAACCCTTTGCACTCGAGGACTCCGCTATGGAGACAATGCAAATAATTATCACACAATAAGTATCACACCTTGGACGATTACAAAATGTAATAATTTTATAATTTTTTGTTTTTTTATGTATCATAACATTTGTATCGATAATCAATTAAGAAAATAATAACATACAACGTTGACTTTTCTTTTAATGCACATATCATTTACTTATCTTTTCACTAAAATTGCTTCGAGTTGCTGGTAATATGAATGAAAAAGAACTTCGAGTGCAAAGGGTTATAAGAAAATGAGGCCTTACTTTTAAGTTCAGCAGCGTCGGGGGTGCAAGCACCGTGATCCAGCAGACAGTTCACGTATCCATTGAGGAGTCTTTCGCTCTGGATCACCGTATCGATGTCGACGTTGTCGTATTTCGTCGTGTACTTGTCCTCGACGCATACAACCACCGAGAACAGGCAGATCGTAGGTACCAAAGCAATCATGACACTCTTCATCCTGCCGCTGAGTTTCGGAACTGGCTTTTTTCGATCACTGAACGTCGAGCTCGTTACCATGGATGTTTTATACTCCTCCATCGTGGCTCGTTAGTCGCACGAAATCGCGATCAATTGCTTGCAACGTCCCAAGAAAATTGTAATACGGACGTAATAAGTCGAAGAAAAATAAAAAATGAGCGGATATCATTTTCTTGGACGCGTTATATAAAAGGGCAATCTTCGCGAGCCCGCAGTTCCGATCGATTTAGAATTCACGGACGATCTATGAAACTTTATCATTTTTTGGTGTTCCAATTTTAAAGAAATTTTATTTCGTTCTAGTTTTCACTTTTAAGAAAGTAACGATTGTTTTTAGAATTTTTCATTGAAACTTTTAAGTCTGTGACACAGTTTAATTTATGCTCAAGACGAAGAAACTTCGATCTTCTGCGTTAGCTTAGGAAAATTTCCAACAAAATTGTTCAATTAATGTAGCAGTCCTTGCAATCGTATTCACGATAATGGACGACAATTTAACTGCACAGAAATGATCGAACACAATGTCGTCTTTGTAAATTCTCAGTAAAACAGATTGACTAATCTAATTAATCATCAGTTTGTCAAAGTCCTCTCACGGAAGTAGAAATTGTAAATAACAATTCGTCATCGTTTTCATCCTGTTTTAAGTAAAGAGCTTCGCGACTCGAATAAAAATTTCGACTTCTTTCGTAACTTTCACTCTCTCAGGAATCGTGTACACATTTAGCATCCATAGACGCTATTACGTGAACAGAATTCGTCTTGCGAAATCTCATGTGGTATTCCAACGGAATCGCAGATTTTCCATGAATATTACCCGCGTCCTCGAACAGTTACGGAAACTCGATTTGTCCTTGATACCGGTAGTCGTTTCCGCGATGGAGGCGTCCGGATACTTAAAAGGAACGCGTGATTCCTCAGGATCTACGCCGACATTGTAATGCTATAAATGATCCTTCCTCGTCGTTGTTTCGTATTCCGTTCAGGCGTCTCAGGCTTCGTAAATTCGACGTGGCAAGTACGCGTTTTAAGTTCTCGTCCCCCGGCACCGTGAAATCCGAGACTTCTTGTCGACTTTACTACGTGAGATTTATACGTAGAGGTGGTCTCGCCGTCTCTGATGATATCGTAGTTTCCCGAAAAATCCTCCTAGATCTCAGCCCGAGCCTAGAGCAGTCAGAATTTCGGGCCACGAAACCGACACCACCAGAAACTTTCAAGACCCCCGTAAAGTTTTCAATTAAATGCAACAGAGTATAAACAGAATCTTCGTTTCGAGTTTCCCTGTTTTGGAGTCGCTTTTCATCCTTCGATGATGTATTCTGATACTCTAATAGTTGATATTTTCGATTCATTTTTTAGTATTCTCAACAATGTTGGTGGGTTCGAAACGATACGAGGAAAATATAATTACTAATAGAAATATACGATTGAATTATTCAACGAACTAAAGTGGGCGATAAAACTCACTGGAAGAAAAGAAATCTAAAAATAAAAATTGTAATAAAAGAAAAATATATTTCCATAATTGTTAACGTTCGATGATTACTAATAGAAATATAAGATTGAGCTATTCAACGAACTAAAGTGGTCGACAAAACTCATTGGAAGGAAACGAATTTAAAAATAAAAATCGTAGTAAAAGAAGAAGTACGAAACATCGAATCAACATGTTCACTGTCTGTGCCCCACACATGGGTCATAGCACTACGCTATTGGATACGCCGCTGAAAGTACGGACAGTGAATGCGTTAAACAAATTTTCTTATCCAGTTTTCCTCTAAAAACGCTTGGAAAACACGAATATTTGTTTAAATAATGCCCCAACTCGTTTTCTGGTCAGCATTAGAAGTCGCTGCGTTGCGTGTCGTATTCTTCGGAGTCGGTTTCCGGTAAATCGGCGCAAGCGTAACAGATTTTCCCAACGTCCCTCCAACACTCGCTGCAGTGGACGAACGGGCAACCTGGCGTGTTGCATCGTCTATGATTAGGTCCTTTTCTGGGTTCCACTTCGCCGCAGATCAGACACTTCTCTCTCGCGCAGGCGAAAAACTTCAGCCAGCCGAATCGTCGCGGCCATTTCAGCCGCAGAGACATCCAGAAGTCGACCTGATGTTCCAAACGTCGCGTCCTCACCAGACTCTTCACCTTCGCTCTCATGAACTTCGCGAAACCGATCCTCCGTCGTAAACTCTCGTTGTAGAGATACAGGACGCGTCTCTTCTCCCTCTTTCGATAGAAGAACGAGCAGATGCCGCGACGCGTCCTCTGCGTGTAAACGGACGCGACGGTCAGCAAGAAGATCCCGAGGAACGTACCGTAAATCTGAAGTAGCGCGTAACCGGGCAGTTTTATCGGTCTAGGTAGACAAGCTCTGTTCGAGGTGACGGTCTTCACGTGCTTTTTCACGTTGAAGCCGTGCACGGCGCTTCTGATCAACGACGCTATCACTCCTGTCCCGCGGATTTCCAGCGACAAGTCGTGGTGACCCTCCTGCAAGGACGAAATATCTCGGTTCGAGCACTCGAGTAATAATTCTTCACTTTACACTCTCTTTCGCGAATAAAAATAAAAAAAAGTATGTTGGACAAAATTAAAAACAGGTATCGAATAATAATTTTCAAGTTTTTCTTTTGTAACTTGAGTCTATCAAATCTTGAAAATGGGGGAAAATTGTTTAAGGCTAGATTTATGAAAGTTGTCAATTTGACGGTCAGATTCCATATTTAAAATTACAGAAGGTGTATATATTATTTTTTAACAATTTATGTTAAAATTTATGTCATCTTCTGTACTCGTCACCAGAGGGCTGCTACGCTCTCGTCTCTCTCGCAAGCGCTCGACTGACCCCTTCGTTTCTACATATACATACTCCTTGACAAACAACCCAATATCCTGATAAAGAGGTTTTTGAAAGTTTTCCTTTAACCATGAAATCCCAACAAGAAAAAATACCACACAAAATTACATACAGACACTAATTGAACATTCTAAATGCAAGTTATAATAGTTATAAACCCAAGGAACTGTACACACACCCAAAAGTACCCAATACCCTGTCGTTTAAGGTAGGATGAGTCCCACTAGCAGGTCCCAATACAAAACTCTCCCCTTTCCTTCTCTGCTTTTCTATTTTTTCCAACACAACATAATTAAAAGAAAAATCGTATTTTAAGGTCATCTTAAGGTATCAATAAATGCAACCAATGCCCGTAAATCTAGTGTTAAAATTGCTGTGCCAATCGAGGGTTAAAAGCGTTTGAATGAACCTCTCTTACCTGCGTGTATTCTATATGAGCGTGTCTTCTGATGAGATCCAAAGCCTCGTAAAAGAAACTGTCCAAAATGATAAAAATGGTGGCCGTGATTATCTCGAGGAACAACTTGCTCATTTGTCCCGCGGTTTGCAGCCCCTCAGCCTTCCCTGGTTTCAAACTGTACGGATCGACGAACTTCTTCCGTTCGATTTTCTTCAATGGCAACAACGTCGAGCTGCCCCGAGCCTTCCTCCTGGCGTCGATCCGCCGGAAGTACGGCGTCACGTAGACGTTGTCGTGCTCGATTTCGTCCAGGTATTTGTCGTGGTAGCTCTGAGCGTTCAGAATGATCTTCAGGAACACGAACGACAGGCATCTTTTCACTACGACCATCACGGACTCGAAGATCTGTCTTCGTACGGTGAACTCGCGGATCACCATCTTGGCCGCGTAGGCGGAATCCTTGAGATCCATGATCACGGGGGGTCGTTTTAATTTGTACTGAAGCCTCGCGTCCTTCAGACTCCTGCTGAACTCGTCTCTGGTACCTTCGAAGAAGCATCGAACTTCAACCCCCGTTGAACTTCAACATATAAAGTAATTTTCAGGAGAAAGACAAAAGCTAAAAATGAATCGTGGAAATATTTTAACCCTTAAGTGAATTATTGGGGCCATTAGTTCATTATTTAACGCTTTAAAAGAAAGTTTCCATTTACCAATTTCGTAAAATAATACAGTTGAGATTGAGAGTCCACTCGAGGGTTAAGAAAATGTTAATTATCGTGTACGTACTCTTCAGGGCGGCGTATCCTTTACCGATACCATTGTCGACTTTTCCTGCAGGATCACAGACGCTGGATCCGCCCAATGCTTGGGCCAGATTGCAAACGAAAGTCAATTTCATCGGCCAACACAGGAGCCAGCCAATGAACACGGTTACTTTTGCGTAACAATTGTTGTAAGCGGTGCTGAACATGTCCCTTTGCAAACGAAAGAATTTATTGGCAAATGTAAAAAGTACTGTTCGACTATCGATAGTTCCTAAATTTGAAATCGAGATAACTTTTATAAGAATTTAACACAAAAAGATTGCATATGTTACATTTTGGATCATCAGTGATACCTGGGATCTTTTAAAAATAATTTTTAAAATAATGGATTACAAATTTGCTAATTCTCGTTAGTTTTAATTCATACAATGGTGGAAAATAGGTACTTGTGGACGTTTTAAATCGTACCTGCACCTGTCCGCGCCTCGACTGAGCTGTTCCTCGCAACGAGCTTCGATCTTCTTCTTGTACTTCGCCTCGTACACGTCTGCCTCCGATTTTGCTTCCTCCAGTTTCTTCTCGTGCTTCTCTTCGATTTCCTTGCTCCTTTTCGTGTCGCCCTGCAATTCGTCCAGGTAATCGTTTTCCTCCTTCAATCGCATCATCTCGTTTTCTCCTTCGATTTCCTCCACGATTGGACTCATCAGGTCTCTCACCGAGGACAGCGTATCCTTTATTTCTTCTCCATTCGTCTTCATGGCGAGAACAGCCTGTCAACGAAAACACGATAATTAGAAAGGATATTAATTTTGTATTCTAATATCTAGAACGTGATATTCAAAAATAGGACAGTTATCGATAGGTTATAGTGGTTCAATGGAACAGGGAAATATTACTCAACAGTTTCGAAAATCAATTTAAAATACGATGCCAAGCCTGACATATTGGAGAGATTGATTAACATGTATCGATCGCGACGTACTTTCTACTTTTCTTATTACACCGAACACGATATTCCAAAATTTCTTAATCGTTGTATTTTGAATGTTTCTACAAAAAAATGGTAATTTATGAAGACACGTACATCTTCCGTAACTCTTTACATAACTCTTGGAATAACGAATAAAATATTGCTATTATATGTACAGACTGTATTAAAATTTTGTGGCATAATTTTAGAGTATAAAGATAATAGGAAAGGCTTCTGTAAATATTTATCTGTATTTCATTATTGGATAAATATTTTTTTTATTGAAACAATTGTGACGAGTAACAGAAATGGCTACCTGTTGAAACGGTTTGAACATCAAATCGAATCGTGTCTTGGTGAGATTGTACGTCAATTGTGAAGTGCAAGCGAACGTTCTCACTACTTCTTTCGCATTGTACACCATATTAAACAACGGTCCAGCGATTACGTATCCCAAAACCAACGCTCTTAGCATACTGCGACCCGAACGCCCGAAAAACGATGGAATCGTCAACAGGCAAATGCACCTCACCTGTTATATGAAAAAAAAAGTCACAAATGAAACGCAATGTTTCCTTATTTCAGTCTTTAAATATTTAAAGACAACATCTTTTAAGGAAAAGATCCAATTTAGAACGAGTAATTAGTGTGCTCGTAAATTGTGACAATATTTCAGATTACAAGTTTTCTGTGCATTTTATTAAAGAGTCTATTATATTTTCGCTGTAAATAAAAAACGAATGACAACTCATTCACGCGACTAACGGAGGGATAACGGTTGTACTAACAACGCCTGAAGATACGAAAACCAGAATTCGGTCGAGTTTGCACTAAAATTATACCAGAAACCACGAGACGAGGGACAAAAAAAAAATTGACATAACGTACCAGTAATCATGTACGAACGTTTGTCGCGATAAAAACAAGATTCAAACCTGTCGTCGATCTGTTAGGTTGTCTATCGCTATAAGAAGGAATTTTTGCTCGATCTCTGTTACGCGTATCTTTCAGAGCAAGAAACCCAAGGTGACAGTTTCGATGTAAACAACTAACGTTACCGAGAAAATTAACATTAGTTATTTTTGCTATATCTTTGCGAGATATGCACTGAAAAACTGGAAAATTATTCTTGTACATCGATGAAACTTTAATGGGATCGCTATTAACGCGATTCATTCAGGTATAGTACGTTTTGTGAATAAAAACTCGACTGGCCTGATCTAATACAATTTACGATCGTCTGAAAGAAAAGGCTGACAAGAAATCGCGATAAAAATGCGAGATTTCGTGAATTTGAGAATTCTACTCTTAGAAATTATACGTAAATAAATCCAAGAATATCTTAGTGTCGAAGTACAATAAATTTATTTTAATTCCATTGATTTTTGTCTCAGATATATGAGATTTCGTGAATTTGAGAATTCTACCCTAGAAATTATACATAAATTCAAGAATATCTTAGTGTCTGAATATTTGAATTACTTTTAAAAAATGGATTTTGGAAAAATATGTTGCATTAAATGAAGTGCAATAAATTTATTTTAATTTCATTGACTCTTGTCTCAAATATATGAGATTTCGTGAATTTGAGTATTGTACCCCTAGAAATTATATATAAATTCAAGAATATCTTAGTGTCTGAATATTTGAATTAAAAAAAAATGGATCTTGGAAAAATGTGTTGCATTAAACGAAGTGCAATAAATTTATTTTAATTTAATTAACTCTTGTTTCAAATATATGAGATTTTGTGAATTTGAGAATCCCACCCCTAGAAATTATACATAAATAAATCCAAGAATATCTTAGTGTCTGAATATTTGAATTACTTTTAAAAAATGGATTTTGGAAAAATGTGTTGCACTGAACGAAGCACAATAAATTTATTTTAATTCCATTAACTCTTGTCTCAAATACATTTCCATAGAGTTGAAGATCTCAGACATCGATCGACCCTCGTGAAACGATCTGTTCTCGCTCCTTAAAATCACATACCTGAATCGACGAGGCGCATCCGATGGATAGCATCGTGACGACGATGACGGCGAGGCTGAAACTAGTATACTGATCGAACCGAAGGTCGACGATGATAAATTCGTACAAAAAGGTGCCCATTAGAAAGCCCATTAAAAAGCCTCCGAAGGCGCGCGTCTTTTTGTGCGTGCCTATCGGGTCGTAACAGAGGCGAAACAAGCTTGGAAAATGCCTCGAATAATACTTGAAGAACTGTTTTTTAAATATTTCGACCCGACGTCCGATGCTGGTTGCGTTTTCCATCGTTTCTCTGCGAGATCATTGAACTCTAATCGCGACTGACGTCTCGTTGGTTAGAAAGCAATCCTTGGTACTTATTCTTCTCACTTTCTATTCGATATCGACGTAAATCGTCACCTTAATCCCTTCAATCTCGAATCATACTTAATCCCGAAATATTGGGAATTTCTTCCCACAGTTGGTTATGGATCGAGGATAAACAGTGATTAGCTCGATGACAACTTTGACAAAAGACTCGCGTTTACGTTCTTCTTTTCGTCGATACTTTACATATTATGATAACTGTTATCGTGAACAACTATTTTCGAACATTAACGCATTCACTGTCCGGTCTCTTAGCGGCGTATCCAAAAGCACGGTGCTATGACCCGTATATGGGCCATAGACAGTGAACGAATCATGCTAATTTAATTTAAAGACTTGCGTATTTTTACAAATATTATTTTCTTTTGACTTCTTGTAACAATGAATTTCATTATGGATTAACCCTGCTCGATCCAGAAACTTTGCCCTGAAATCGTGTCTTGATGCTCAGATATTAAATTCTATTTAAACGAATCGAAAAAAGATCTTCGAAACGACCGTCCACGTATGCAAATAGAATAAACGTGGTCGATTAAAAGAGTCGTGCAAAGAGTCTAATAACAGAACGAAAACACTGATAGGCCAGTCTAGTATCGTTCGATGATAATTTTTGCAAGTCAACACGGAAGACGGGGAGAAGTTCTACGTGTCGTTTATAATACCACGTTGTCTGCGTCGTTTAAAATGGAAAATGACACGATGACCGGCTTCGAGCACGCCAGACGAATACGAACACGAACACGAACAGGAACACGGTATGATGACCCTTTTCGTTTGTTTATTCCTGTACACGGCGTGCATTTGCATTGTAAAATGAAAGTAAAAGGAGAGTACGGAAGCGGAATATTACGAAGCTCATGAATTTTGCGGCGATTTATTGGACAGGCTCGTTTACTGAAACTGTTTATTACAAAGGCGATATACACGGTCGTCTAGCAAGGTTGTCCGCTGCCATTTTCTAGCGCGTACGTGCGCGTTATAACTTGTCATTAATCGCCCCGTCGAGTTTCGTGTCGAGTTACGTGATCAATACGGGCGCGAATAATTATCTGGAAGGATTCAGCTGTCCTAGAGATCACGTCGAGACTATCCAACTCTAAATGTTTTTTTACGGCGTTGCTCGATCTTGCTCAAACATTGATGCCGTGCTTCTTCGCTTCCGGCTCGAATTTGGTCCTGTACTTCCTGTCGGGATCGTATTTATCCGCCAGCTTGGTCCAGAGTTCTGGTTTGTTGTCCACGAGGAACTTCACCACTTTCTTCGTCACCTCCATTTGCCTCTGCGAACATTTGCTGCACTCGGTGGCCAGAGCGTCGGGCAGGATCTCTGAATATTCAAAAGAAACTAATTAATTCAAGAAAAACTACTGAAGAAACATAAGAACATGTTATACTTCTTTTTAGTCTCCTACCAGACTTCTTCTTATTGTTAGTCTTCTACTTTAAAACCGAAAATTTCGGGTCTTAAAAACATATTCTTCGCACTAGAACTGCTGACAATTATAGTGTATTTATTTGCACCAAAGAAATTATAGAAAATTACTAATGGGTTATTTCGACTGCTTTGGTAGTTCTGGTTAAAGTATTACATTGATATTTAGCTAAAGTAGAGAAATTTATAGAAAATAGGGTCGATTAAGTTCGAGAAACTCAATTCATATTTGTGGGTGTACTTTTCGAGATTTTTTTGTAAAAATACTGGAGATCTTATGCAAGACAGTTGCTCAAGCGACTGAAAGCTCAGGACCTCGGGCTACTTTGGTGAGAGGTCGACCTCGAGTACGTTTTCGACGGTTTGTCGATTAAGAAAATTCGAAGAAAATAACGAACAGCGTCGCGAAATCCGTTTAAGTGACCTACTAGCCTCGTGGTGGTGTATTCTTAAAAATTTAGACCAAAGTCTTCTTTTCTAATAATGTTTTGAAGAGCAAATATCAATGACTGCAGAAAATAATGCAGTTAGCTTCCTTAAATAATTAAATTGTGATACGAATATAAGCGCCGCTCTGGAGACTTCGATGCTGGCTAAGCGACGCTCTGGAGATTTCAATGCTGGGCTAAGCGACGCTCTGGAGATTTCAATGCCGGTTAGGCGCGCCAACCGAGCCAAACAGACGTGCAAAAAAATAATATTCGACATTTAAATACGCGATTATATTTCCATTAATACCGGATCGACTCGTTTCAAAACACCGAACGCGTATAATTTCCAATTAATAATAAATCATGTTCCCGTCTCTGTTAATTCAACCTATTTGCATTTCGTTCGTAATTTATGACCGGGAATATCTTTCTTAATTATGTGTGCACTGCCAGGGGGTTTCGAATAATAATATAAATGACGTTTGAAATATGTTCCAAGCACGGTATTTACATTATTTGTAATTACTATCTTTTGAGATTACCCGCAGAAAGTATCCAAGATTAATATTTCCAAACGGAAACAGGTTGTGCGGCGTGGAGAACACCACGTGTTCATTAACGATCTTACCTTTTTCGTTCCTTGATAATTACTCAATTACGTTTCATTCACTTTTCCTTTCTCTTACAGAGAATGAAGAGTATTTCGTATACTTCTACGTTACATATAATTTAGTTAAATTCATTTCTTCATATGTATGTTTAAGACTCACGTTTGAGCTCGGTGCCCTCCGGTGTGCACCTTCCCTCGTCCATCAAGCATTTGAAGTAGTTGTGCAACAGTCGATCGTTGTTCAGGATCTGGTCCACGTTGATGTTGTCGAATTTGTTCGTGTATTTCTTCTCTTCGGGACGGGCAGCCACGTAGGTGACCGCCGCGAAGGCGAGCAAACAGAACACTGCGAGTTTCATGGCTGCTGCGTGTCAAAAGAAAAATTCGAATTAGAACACGATCGAACGCGACGACAAACGCGTTGGATGCTTTTCTGTCAAACTTCGATGGCCGACTGAATCTCACGAGAACGCGATTGCGACAATTATACGAGTCCCAAGGCAATCGGGAATCCCGGGTCGAAAGAGAAATTCGGTTACGACGCGATTGCTCGTTACATTATCGACTCGTTATAGTTACCGATTACGCGTTTTTTGGCTCTGTTTGTCTCGATGTTCAACGACAAATGGTACAAGAAAATGAACGGTTTGAGGCGTTCGACACTCAACTCACCTGAACGTATTAGCTGCGATTAGATGCAATTCTAGAGATGTCCTGTCTCACGGTACTTATATATGCCCAGTCTCCGGTGGTAGTCCAAGGTGGTGGTCGAAGGTGGGAACGAGACGATTCATACGGACGTACCCCACCTGGAAATTTACTCTTTCGCCTTTGTTTTGCGGGGAATTTCGTGGAAAATATTTCAATTCTTTGCTCGACGCGACGACGACGCGCATTTTAATGCATTTTTTCCTTCTTCCGGGTGCAAATGTCCGCGCGATTGGTCGTCAGTGTGACCGTGGAACGAGATCGTACACGCACCCTCGGAAAAGTACGCGAGACGATCGAGAATGGATCGAGAATGGATCAAGAATGTTCAAAAGAAGATTTCTTTCTATTGAATTTTTTTTAAATACCAAACACTGCTATTTTGTGGAAAAATGGTGAGAATTTTTGATACTGTTAAAAAAATATTAAGAAATATTTGAAAAATTATAGAAAACCGGGGAAAAAAACCTGATTTATTTAGTGCTTACAAGACAGGCTAAATAAAATTTGTTTTTATTGATAACTATTCTATTCTTCGTTTTGTTACATTTTTAATCCATTTCGAAACTTTTGTTGCTTAAAAATACGAGATCACGTCTTATTGCCACGTGACATCTGGAAAATTAATGAAACAATGAGCAAATACAAATATTATATAGTGTGATATAAACTTATTGACACATTTAAAAAATGAAAAATAAAATTGCTAGTTTTATTTTAACCTGTACTTGGTCTGAGTATTGTTCTTATTTCGGGGATTTCGTCTGACAACCATAATGACACGATTCAAGAGAACTGGAAATTATTCATGAGATTATTTCAAAAGACATTCAAACACAAAGTTAGATATAATCGCTGGATTAGGAATTTATTACTTCTTCGAATAAAGTAACATGTCTGAAATAAAGATTCGAAGAAACATGATCATTTCTTGTTTCAGTTATTATTTTATTCAAATAATGCCCAAACCTGATCGCAGAAGCAGTCGTTTATATGAAAGTTGTCCAACTTTAAAAATACTTGTTATGCAAATTAATTAAGTAGAATTACTTCCTTTTATGGAGAAAATCATGTTTTATAGATATTTAAAAATATTATGTTCACTAATTTGACATTCGTTTTTACTTGTAAACATTTTTTTCTGCACTCGAAAGATTGTAAAACTCCATCTTGCATTCGAGAAATTCGTCATACCGAAATAATACGTAATGAAACAAATGTCAATTGCTTTTTTGCACGGTAGTACTAAGAATCATTGTCTTCTTTGACGTATAATGTCCTACGTGGTAATTGAGAACTGACTCATGCATATAAATAATTCCGTAATTATATTTAAATAAAGTTAAACGATCTCAGTTATAAGAGCAAATTTGTAGTCGATAAATTTTGTTTGATTTGCTCTCCGATTTCCTCCAGAATATTCGTAAGACAACGAAGTATATTAATATTTAAATAAAAGAATTGTTTAGAGAAATTCTTACGTTAGAAAAATTATATTAAATGGATCGAACGTGAAATATCGAATTATATACGATATTAACGAGCAGTGAATTTTTTTTATTTACTATAAAGATATTGGGATTCTATATTCATATCTAAAAGTAAGTAGAAAAAGAAAAATAATGTTTTTACCGAAACAAAGTGGTTCTAAATCAGCTGCATAATGAGATTGCAGAGGACAGGTTCCGAAACAATTTATGGCTATGTTTTAAATGCATTAAGATGCATTTAAATCTTTGGTCATAATTTATTTGATAAGGAAAATGCATTTTTTTAAGATTTAAAATTAAATATTTCTTGTCTTGCGCCTAATCTCTCTGTTTAGAAGTATGGAATTTTTATACAGAAATCAATGTTAGTTACGAAGGCGACGTTACTTAAATTTCTCCGCGCGTATAAATCACGTACTTTCAAATCGCTTTCATAGAAATATTAAAAACGAATCGAATGGATTACGTCAACATCGTGTCCCGACCATCCTAAAAGCAGCCAAAGTTCTGGATCCTTGACATTAATAATCGCGTGTCGAAATTAGTGAATCTTGTCGTACAAATAAGCTTATATAACTGAACAGTTAGTATTTTCGGAAAACACGATTAACATAATGTTAAAGATGTGAGTCATTTGTCTTTTTAATTTGCAAAGAAAGTATAAAATAAAATTTGACAAAAAACTTTAATAATCTTCATACTACTATTTCACTCTGCAATTTATTCTAAATTTTTAATATAGATAGAAAATGATTTTAAATAAAAAATTAGCGTGTTTTTAACAAACTCCACAATTTTAGCATTTTAATTAGTCACAGTATTACCTGGAAAAAATTTTATTGGAAGATTCTAGACATCAAAATAAGACGAAAATCAAGAATACCAATTTGTTGATGGAGGCTTCGTTAAAAAGTTATTAACATTTAAAGTTCCGGCCGTCATGAATTTTTTTCTTGAAAATGCGCAAGATTTCGGGGGTATGTCTATTCACCAAAAATGATTGTAATTGACCCTCGCAACCAGAAATAATTTTTCCAAAACGATTTGAAATTTTATTTTCCGTTGAAAAATTTCATACCTTCTCGAATTTTTTTCTAGAAAGTGGTTAGGATTTCGGGGGTATATCTATTCACCAAAAATGGTTATAATTGACCCCCGCAACTGAAAATAATTTTTCCAGAACGATTTGAAATTTTTTTTTTAGGCACCTAGATTTTCAATAAGGAATTTTTTTCTCGAAAGTGCGTAGGATTTCGGGGGTATGTGTAATGACCCAAAATGATTGTAATTGACTCCCACAACTAAAAATATTTTTTCCAGAACGATTTGAAATTTTTTAATTTTGTTGACTTTGTCCACCTACCCGATTTTTTTTCTCGAAAATAGGTAGGATTTCGGAGGTATTTGTATTCACTAAAAATGATTGTAATTGACCCTTACAACCGAAAATAATTTTTTCAGAACGATTTGAAATTTTTGAATTTAATTGTTAATAACTTTTTAACGAAGCCTCAATCAAGAAATTGATATTCTTGATTTTCGTCTTATTTTGGCCTCTAGAATCTTCCATTAAAATTTTTCCCAACTTTACACTTAATTTCGAGATTATTTGAAAATGATTGATTTTGAATTGTTTTGAGCAGCGTACGCAATTGCAACGCCGTATTTACAGAATCGTAATAAGATCGAAAAAGGCAATGGGAAATGCACTCGTTGCTCGAGCGAACAACGAAGGTCGCATAAGTGTAAGAAAAAAGAAAAGGAAAAAATTATGGTGTTGTCAGAGGCCTCCGATCCAAGAAATGTTGACGAGTCTAGACGTAACGTATCGCTTGCATTTGTTTCGATTGTAACCGTGTCATTGTATTCGGTTGTATATGTAATTTTATTCGTAAAGTGTTCTGATTATGCTGTCTTTGCCGTGCGTCACGCCTTGGAGATTGATTACCGTGATAGTTACTACGCAAACTGAATAACGATGGTGCTCGTATGCTCGCTGAAATCAAAGCCAATAATAAATTAAATCACACTTATCGATAAATAAGATGATACAATCGTACGTTTCAAGCGAACGCTCCTACACAATTTAAATTATGCATTATTTAGGAAAAGTTATTGCTACATGTTGCCACGCAAGAAAACGATGAGACTAACTCGATAATAGCCTAAGGACGTAGAGTGTAAAACGTCTGTTGAATTAATAAGTTTGCGTACAAAATTAACATAAATTGTACACAATTATGGGAACACGCGAATAAAATAATGCACAATATTGGGAATGTAGCGACTCGCGAAACTGTAAACGTTTTACGCAAGTAAATACAAAAGATAATAATTCTTAAGAGTCGAGAAAGTCCTTACAAAAATTGACAAATAATAATTTAAGTCGCATGGAACAATTGGAAAAGCACAAGTTACTTTCCTTTCTCGAGGTGTTAATTGTTTCAGACGAGTGTCTTTAAAAAAAAATGTACAAATTATCAATAATTAAAGGAACTTATTATTAAGAGTCGGATCGTATTTTAAAAAGCAAGAATCTAAATAAAAATCAGGCTTCCGAGACATGTAGATCCAAGATCAATGGCGTGTGGATCAAGACGGAAGTATCGAACTCAAAGGAACGTAATACTTCCGTCTCGACTTGGAAGTCACGTATGTTCCGTTGATTAATACTTCCGTCTTGATCTAAAATCTACATACCACGACCACACGATCTCTGCTTACTTTTAAAATCCTGCTTAAGCTATTAAATTTCCGAATTTCATTATTCGATATTCTCGTTTCAAGTACAGGCGACTTCAACAATTTGATCGATCCATTTCGCTTGTTCGATTTAAGGAAATAAACAAAGGCGTTTGCTTTAAGGGAAAATACCTATTGTACAGTTTATTTTATACATTAACGACCGTTTCATTCGAGTACGAGATTTGAAAGCCTTTTTTTGCTTCGAAATATTTAATTTCGTCGTGTTTCTAAAACAATTAGGTGCAACGAACACATTGTGTGTCGCACCGATTCCTCGAAGTAGCGTTACATCGATTTCGAAATGATTCAAATTTGGCGATCCGCAATCGTTCTTTTATAATTTCACGAATACTCTCCTCGCTTCATCATCTCCGAACGCAACGAAAATTATCATTAGTGCGAATGACTTTACTAAACTTTATAAAAGTTAAAATACAGTGTCTGCTTCGTTACAAAGTTGCTGCGATTCTTTCTATCAGAATTTGTTCAGAAATTTATATATTATTGTTCGAAGTAGTTACAGGAAGGCGTAATGACCACTTCTTTGTTTAAAGGTAACTTCGTCTACGCAAGGTGTCTCGTCGCTCGCGACACACACGAGGACCGATTTCTCGTTAAAGTGTACGTTAAAAATTAAAATAACAAACATTTTCAGACGAATTTAAAAATACTAAAATATACTGTACAATTAAAAAAAAAAAAAAACAAAAACAAACGTACACATCCTCGAAGAAGTAAAAACGTAATAACACATTGGATCCCGTGAATCTCGATGATCGTTACGGAGCTGGAAATTCTTGGAAATTATCAAGGCAACCGATCCAATAAAAAGAAACTCCATTTATACAGAGTATCCTCGCTCTACCTATTATTATCACTACTTATTGCTCCCAACTCCAATTTCACTCGTTGCTCTATCCCTCTTTAGTTGTCAACAGTATACAACGAACGAGGTTTTCGTATTGTCAGTCTCCATTAACAATTATTGAACGAACTTGTCAAAGTAAATATCTCTAAAAATATTAATACGAAACAAATGTAAGGCCAAGTTTAAATATACATTTTTCCTATCTGAAAAATGAAACAGTACGATTTCCAATATGCGTAATTGTAGATCACCAGTCTGACGTGTCCAATGACGTAATTTAAGGTCAATCGTGATAAATGGTATAGAAAAACAACAATTATATACATTAATAATAATTATTCGGTAAATTGTTTAATCACTTAAGATGATGAAGTGCTGATTACTGACTCATGAATATTTGAAAAATGAATAATCAATCAGACTAGAACTGTTTTTCTTTCTGTAACCCCCCTTGGGCTTTGTAATAGTCATTGTTGGATGTAAACTACACTTACGTATGCGCGGAACATATGATCGCTTAAACAAATTTAACAAATTTAAAAAGATTGTTAATCGTTTTATAAATTACTTAAAAAAATGAGAACGCAGCGAACGAAGTATATTTCTAATTAATCGACGATATTTTAACGGAAACTCGACCCGTAGTCGTCGACGTTGAATATTTTAACTTACCTGAAACGAGATTTAACGCGAAAATCAACAAGGTTGGTAAAAAAAAACATACTTAAAGGGACAAAATAGTTTTTATCGATATACTGCATTACCATTTTCATTGTAAAAGACAGTTGTACAAAAATGGAGTGTAACAAAGTGGAGATTCGTCGAGGTCAAATGGGAAATCTAAGAAAAAACAAACCATCGCGAAGATGGCACGACGCAAACACGTCGACTAATTTTCGACTCTACTACAAAAAAAAAAATTAATTTAAAACAATAAAATGCTGAAGTCGAGAACGTGTACATGTACCCAGTGACAATAAAATTTCTCCAAAAACGTAACCTTGGAGAAAAGTTCCTATTGTTCGATCCTTCCAACAATTGAACTTTTTCATACAACGTCGATATTTAGGTGCGCCCCCGTTTAATTGGTCCACCTTGCATTACAGTAACGCGAACAAGTCGATTCGAGGAGGAAACCTGACGATTCGGATGGAATTACCGAGGTGGATTTGACAAGTAACGACGGTTGACAGCGTTGTCGCGACGAATGCAAGAAAAACATGTGTATTTACATGGTTCGATAATATGTTGAGAACATTCGAGCCCGTAAGGCACGTTAATCGTATTATCAATACTTTTGGAGATATTCGCTTCTGTGCCTCGCTCTGCATAAATAAATATAAAATATTGTAAATAAATGTAGTACAAGAACTCGTGTTTTTATGGCTTCGCCTGCGCTCGTAAATGCAAAATCAACGAAAACAATGTTTAATCGAAACTCTCGATGTACCGTGAAATCTTAACAACGATCAGATCTGATCGTTCGCGAGTTACAAGACACCTTGTGTTTGCGCAGTTGAACAGCCTATTTCGTAGTGGACCATCTCTTATACAAATATTACAGTCGATACACGTCAGGCTAGCCGATTCTGCGGTTTTCTCGCAGCGCAGAACATAAAAATGTGTACAAGCTTAGTCACTATCATTCAAGCTTGGTAAGCGAACGACACAAGTGGCTTACAAAGGACTGCGGAACTTAGTAACGCGACGGAACATAGATAAAATTAAAGTTGTTACGCTACTAAAATTCGCGCGACATGAAACTCAACTTACGTCGATCGACCTTTCTGTGCCGCCCAGGCGACGAAAAAACATAGTATTTTAAGAAATGAGTGCGCGTCCATTACAAAAATTCTTTTACGCCTATGTATAAACAATTCGCTGTTTACGCAAGTCTGCAGAAAATAATCTACACCGAATAAAAGGGAATAGTCTTCTACTCTCCGTAAAAAATATGAGCAGCTATTTCCCTATTTCATCACTTAGCTATTTAAGCAATACGCCATAATAAGTATTGTTTTTCAACGGAAGATACTGTGGGGTGTGAATGTGCGAGCGACCGGTGGTGTTCGAAACGGGAAAACAGATCGATCGAATTCATGCAGCTTTTGAGATCAGGCGATGGCAGAGCAATTGGGGAGATTATTTTTGTGTTTTTAATAAAATTTTGATAAAAAGAAACTTTATTTGAGGCTCACTTTCGATCTCTGGACGTCCATCGAGAAGATATCTCCTTTTTTAATAGGATACAATATGATCGAAGTAATCTTAGACCTAGCGGCTTTGATAACTCTTTTCCACATCATCGTTCAAGGATTTGGAGACAAAAATCACGGCACAAGTCTCCTTAACGACGTGAAAGCTCATCAAGATGGGGCAGTAAAATTCTCAACACAACTGGCTCTTGCTTTTCACAACGTTTCCAACTTTGAGGGCTCGTTAGAGGAGGTCTTGATTAAGACAACTAGGATGGATTTGCTTCCAAGTCCTTTGGAAACACTAGAAAAGCCTTATTGCTTGACCAGTTCTCTATCAGAGTCAAGACAACGAGAGGTTTAGAGGATAGGAATACGTAGGGCCATACAATGTTAAGGTATTGGCGGGAGAACTAGTCTCTATTGAACCTCCCACAACGTGCCAGGAATTTGGAAACCTTGTCAACATCCTGGGACAGGCTAGGGATGTCTTCTTTAATCTGGTATGCATTATGCAACAGATTTCAGCGAACCCTTCTTTACGTGTTAGGATCACCGAAGAAAAGACACTGAGTAGGAGGAATGCTATTCTCGAGAGGACAAGAGGAATAAAATCTGTTAAATACCAATGATCCAAGATTTATAGGATATGGCTGACTGCTAGAGCAATGATCGTAACGAACTTCTTATCAAAACTTTATTAAAAACACAAAAATAGTCGCTTTACTGTGCACACGCTTGCTCTGAAGCTCCCAATCGCTCTGCCTTCGCCTGATCTCCCATATACACACACGCCTTGAGACAAAAACTGCACGAATTCTGCACTAGTCTTCTTCGCAACCTAGCAATCGATCGACTTGTTTTCCCGTTTCGAACACCCGACTCCAACTCACCCATTCACACCCCACACTACGGCACAGCTATTTTTTGTCCTTTCTTTTAGTTAGAAGCTATGGTTTTACTGCTAGTATTTTATAAGCAACTGAAAATAATTGCTTTACTTAGAACTTTAAAATGTCTTAAGTTCTTATGTCTTTTCTGCAATATGAGTTTGGCCTAGAACACCACCATTATCACACTATATGCTTTTTAAACGCTTTCATTTAGGTTACCACCATAATTTGTGCTTTAGAAGTAGTATCACTAGAAAGGTACTATTTTTTTCATCGTTATGTACAAATATTACACAGGCAACAAATAAATTACCTAATATCATATATTTCATGGTGATAACAAATGTCCTTATGATCTGTTCTTTGTACCATCCCTCATCAATAAGGAATTTCTCACGTTGTTTAAAGAAATTCGACGATTGCAGAACAAAATATATTTACTTCCGTGTTACGTATCACGTACGTGTCAAATTATTAGAAACGTTTTAATAGACACATTTTAACGGAACGTTAAGGACCACCTATGTTTTTGCATGCTTTTCCATCATCAACGACATTTTATTTATCGTTAAACTAATTAATATTCAATACTACCGTGAATCCCAACTACATAATTATTTTACGGTGTTGTTTTTATTCAATTAAATATTTTTATACATACCCATCCGGTAACTTGTCGTTTCGATCACTGTTAAATGAAACCTAGATTTGATAGGTTTCTTGGAGATTATGATTCAATTAGATTTTTTTTGTCGCAACGAACTGAACAACCTAATTTCAACTAATGCAGAGTACCCCCCACATTTCCTTATTGTCAAGTATGGTAACAAATCACATTCAAAACAGATAGAAAGGAGTATGTGCACCTAGTAGTCTGTACAAGAAAATATTACAGTGGAAGAATTAATTGAGCAATACTTTCAATGGCTCTATAAAGGCAGTGTATGCGATTTTCTTGAATAGTGTTAAATAATTCCTAATTATACACTAAAAGATAAACGAAACCTAAAACAACGATGCTCGTTTGAACTAAATACTCGATTTTAGTTCAAGGAATCATTTCGCGCATAACAGCGATGATAATTTAATACCTGAATTCTTGGAAAGCAATTATCAGTGTCGATGGTTGGCGACGAAATTGTTACAATCAGCTTAAACATACAAGCTCCTGATATATCTACAATAATCTGAGATAGTAATCGATTTTGTTTTCCTTAACAAAATAATGAGTGCGATTTTATAGACACGTTGAAATTATTAAACAAACTTCTCAGTTTGTAACAATTTCTCTTCCAATACGATCACCTGATTTTTCGCTATTTAGTAACTTCACTGAAGAACTATAAGATTCGATAATCTTTACGCGATAAACTATACACGCACGCACATTCTCTCTCTACCTGCTCTATTATATACGTTAATTAAATCAGACTCGAATTTCAATTATACCTAAGACTTAGTTTTCAAGATAGAAGGTGACTTAGAGTTGAAATGGTCATTAAACTTTTTACATATTTTTATCAATTGGCCGCGATCCAGCCATTTGTTACCAGATAATGTAGTATCTTACGCTCTGGTTCCGACTGAGGTACAACGCCAGATCTCCTATTACCATTTAGATACTCCTGCAACCACATAATTATCGCGTACAGTCAACACGCGGACCAAAAGGCGACACGGAATAATTCAAAAAGGAAACAACGATGCTAATTTGGTAAGAGTATCGCGAGAGACGCTTATCCTAGAATCACCGAGCACGCGTCGATTCTTCTTCTTGAACGAAGACTTCCAAAACGTTCGATACTTTTTGAATCACGCCTCTGTATAGAATGTTTAATATTGCCCGTGGGGTAACTTACTTGCAACAACAACGTTTTCTGCGTTAAATACTGCGTTGGCTTCAGATCAAGCTGGATACACAACGATTTCTCTTGCTTTGTTAACAAATGAGCCGCAGTTTCCAATTCTATGTCTCGCTCCTCCGAGTCCCCAGCCGCCGGACAAGATTTCCCGGAAGTTGTCGCAGTGTAGTTCTTTTCTACGGTAGAACTGGAGCTGGTAGAGTGCTGGCTGGAAGAATTCAGATTGTTATCCGGCTCCGCCCACTGATTGGCTGGAGTCGTCGTCCGATTGAGACTGGTTTGACTGATTGAGGAGCTGCTGCTGGGTAAGTCTTTTGCAGTGTACTTTCGGTCGATGGAAGAGTAACTTTTTTCTTCTTCTCTGCAAGACAGAAACGCGACACTTTAGCGATAAAAATCGCACGGGCTAGCGTCAATTAGTAATTATGCACTGACTGATTTTGCACTTAACGATTTTGCGTCTCTATTTTTGCGAAATGAAGCGGTTAATGCATTTACTTTTGAAATTCTCTCTTGTACCTTTTTTTTGAGGTGTGGCGGTGTATTGGTGTGGACGGCCCACTGCTGCCCTAAGTGAAATGCAAACTGATACAATCTGTTCACAAATGCCTGGCAACACGCACCACAAACAATGGAATTAGTTAAAGGACAAGTAAAAGCTAGCGCATACGGTATAACTAAGGCACTGGACTTGCGTATTAGAGAAACCAATTTTTTGCTCAACGATACGAATATTGCGTTACTGTAATTACCAAACTTTATTTCAAATTTCCAATTAATCTATGGCAAAACTATCTTATTTTTATCATTTGATGAAAGGAAAATTATGCTTAGTTTTAAGGAAAACATAAGTCGTGGTATTTTCTAAAACTTTTGTAGTTCCAATAGGGAACCCACACCCCCTTAATTAGAGACTATTATTATTATTATTAATTACTGTATTTAATTCCGTCATTAAAAAGATGGTAATTCCACAAAAATGAACTTTACCTTTGTCACTTGCAAACAAAGGTACTCACGTTATGTCTCCCTCAAGACTAAGAAAAATTAATTTGAACATATTTGTCTGTCACTACATGTGTATAAGTTATTCAGGTCATAAGTACCTCACCCTGTATGTAAAACACTGTATTTCAAAATGCAAAATAAAATAGGCAATGTACAAATTAGGGAGCAAAACGTAAGGGTTCTAAAGAAAACAAACACGCGTTAAAAAAAACACTATTGTTTGTATTTAGAAACTATAGAAATTGCGCAAAACATTCAAAATATTTTTTAGAAATATAGATGCATAATTACATAGACACATATCTCGGTAAATAATAAGAAAACAGGAGCTTTACTAGCTTTTACGAATGTATATTTGTAAAGCATTTTCAAAGATGAAATGATATAAAATGTACAGAATCGGTATGTCTTTTAAAAGAATTCCAATTGACATTGCAATGTGGACAAGATAGGCACATGGAAGTGAATACTTACAGATTTTTTTTCGTTCCAATGATCCGCTGCGTCATTTTGTCCCTGAGTTTGTGCAATTACTTGCTCAAAATGAGCGCATTCCTCGTGCCTCGAAATCCCATGTTCCCGATAACGATACAATTCAGTAAGACGCAAACGCAACTCTCTTTCCCTCTCGAGGTTCGTTAAAAACTGCTCGTACTCCTGCGCTGTGTAAAACTGCGCAAATGCCCGCATTCTGTCCCTAAATTCCCTAGAAACAATGTAAGTTCTTTATTCGAATATTGCAAGCAAATAAAACGTCTTCCTTGATCGATAACAAATACAGCATACCTTTCCTCCTTTGTTTGCTTCCTTTTTAACGCCTTGTCTTTCCTCGACGATGAAAAGAATGCTGACACAAGCTGATAGTCGCGCACTACCCTTTTCCGACGTGCTCTTTCTCTTAAATTGTTTGTATACATGTCAACTTGCGCAAGTTTCAATGCTATATCCAAATCATCATCCTCTGCTGGATTCAGGAATAACGACGATACGAGCGACTCTGCTTCATGATTGTAATCCTATGAACAAATGTTTAATATTGTAATACGTATATACAGGGTGTTCAGCCACCCCTGGGAAGATTCTAGAGGCTTCATTAAAAAATTATTACAAAATTAAATTAAAAAATTTCCAATCATTCTGAAAAAAATATTTTCGGTTGCGGGGCTCAATTGCAATCACTTTTGGTGAATACACATATCCCTGAAATTCTACCCACATTCGAGAAAAAAATTCCAGTAGGTATTGATATTTTTAGACGAAATTAAAAAATTTAAAATCATACTGAAAAAATTATATTTAGTTACGGGGGTCAATTACAAGCATTTATGGTGAATAGACATACCCCCGAAATCCTATGCACTTTCGAGAAAAAAATTCGAATAGGTATTGATATTTTTAGACGAAATTAAAAAATTTCAAATCATACTAAAAAAATTATAGTTAGTTGCAGGGGTCAATTACAAGCATTTTTGGTGAATAGACCTACCCCTGAAATCTCACCCACTTTCTAGAAAAAAATTCAGTTCGGGCGGAACTTTAAACGTTAATAATTTTTTAACGAAGCCTCCATCAACAAATTAGTATTCTTGATTTTCGTCATATTTTGGCCTCTAGAATCTTCCATTAAAATATTTCCTAGGGTTAGCCGAACACTGTATACAGGACGTTACCGGACATGTGGTACCATCGGCTAAGGGACGATTAATCAACTTGATTATAAATGTGAAACATTGGCGAGACTTTTAATAAATCCTCCCTCAAAAGGAGGAATTCAACCACGTACGAGGACAAAACGACGGAGGGGTGATTTCGTGAAAGAGAAAGGAGTCTTTCCGTATTGCAGGCGGCTATAAACCGCGAAGGAGGTCAAAAAGGCCACAGTTGCGCGGTCCATATACGGAGGGGGACATGCGTGACGCGTGTGTGCTCGATAGAGAATATTTATTGCTTACTCTTTCAAAATCATCTCGTTGTGGCATGTAACCCAATTGTGCAGCTTCCTCGGGAGTAATATCCAATGGTGGTAACCGAGATGTAAGATCAGGTGACAGAGGCCCATGATCTGACTTAGTTTGATCCATAAGATTTGGTCTATAGCTTTCTGTTGGTGGCCATGTGTGTTTACCAATATTGCCATCAAGGTATCTGGCAATATATTCTTCTTTTGCTTCTACAATTAAAACAGAAATCGTGTAAATTTTATTTTAATTTTATAAATGAATGTTACAAAAACAGTCGTTGTACAGTAGTGCCCACTTAAGTGACCACGCTGGGGACCGGCCGCGGTCACTTATGTTGGCATGGTTATTTCTCAGAATTCCATGGAGATAAGGAAAGAGGATAAGTTCGAGTGAGATACAATAGCTGACACCCGAAACTATGTATACAAAGTACCGATAACGACCGGCGTCAAGTTACGCTCGATGTTCGAAGCCGCTTGGCTTCCAAGATGGGGAAAAGTGCGGTCATTTAAGCGGGCACTACTGTATTTTCTTTATCATTTGTGAGGTTATACCTTCTGGCGTACGTGTTTCAATATGTTTACTAATATCTTCCCAGTTTCCAAAACCAAATTGTTCAATGGCATCCAAGAGTCTAAGTTGTTCCCTAGCAGTCCAATTTCCTCTACCATTAAATATACTAATGGTACCAGAATCCTATGAACACAAAGATCGATTATTTCTTTGTTCAACAAGAATATTTCGCGTATTAAAAATATTGTCATCCACTCACCATAAACTGATAAGAGTGATCATTTTTGTGTGGACCAATTTCAGCTCCGGCGGAAAAACACTGTCAACATTTGAAAATATTTCTTTGTAACGATCACGTTTCATATTAGACCAACGAAACCGACGTGCCTATGCACGTGTTTCCATATGATCAGCAGTTTCATTCAAGTCGCGCGGGGAAGTAGTAAGAGTAGTTACAGAATAACTTGTCCGACGAAAAGGGGATGGTAGGGGTGGGGAATGAAAAAGGAATCTCAACACGCAAAATCCAGCAAAACCGGAAGGATAGACGAAGACGTGTAGGAAATCGGAGAGGAGGACAAGGAGGGGGAAGAGACGCGACACGTGACCGAGAAACAGGCGTTCACTCGACTCACCTGCAAGCAGAGGTCGAAATCCGGGCATTCCACACATCTTACACGTAAACCCGTGATGTCCTCTTGACAATAGGTGCAGTTGTATTTAGCATACAAATCTGAAACCGCAGGGTCGCAGTACATTAGAACAATGATGAATATTCGCTCGAGTCGAAATCTATATTCTCTTCGTCGACGTAAATACATACCCGCCATTATTGTCCTGCAGGGTTCTTCCAGAACGATCCGGATGACGTCACCGCATGCCAGAAACCCATAAGTTTACGTATCACGTACACTGAGCGAGCAAGCTCGGCCCCATTTTTTCCGCGAAATCGTACGAAAACGCGGAAAAATTGTGGTGCGTCAGCCAGGACGCTCTATTTAACGTGCAAGCGTAAACTCGTGATGAATCTGAATGGAAAAAATGTTGTTTACGACTGTTGCGTCGCGAAACGAGTACGCATGCGTTCCCTGCCCCACCACTTAGGTAAACTGCGCATCAGGATTGCCAACGTCGTAAAGACAAAAGAAGGTCGCACCGTTCTGCAATCCGGATATATTCTGTCCGCGCGAATTTAAATAAAGCAATCGCGTTCAAACGGTTTTCAGTTACTTCCGTGCAAAACCTATCATTCTTTGAACATATCGTAACATTCCAAACGAGATTGCTAATTCTTAGCTTCGCAACTGCTGGAAAATGTTGTGTGTAAGTTAAGAACTTTAAAATCATCCCCTTGACACGTTCACGACCTGTACCATTAGTGGTACCATTGTACATGGTACAAATTAGGCCCATTACGAACTTATCAAGCCTATAGTTTTTCAAATAATATGTATTAGCGTGGGTAAAGTTTAAAATAAAAGTATTACGGATAAATAATTCGGATTAATGAAATTGATAGGTTCAAAGATCGAAGTATTTTTATAAGAATATCGTTTTATTGCGTCAATCATTGTACACGGGATGCCCAAAGTTGATTTCCGATAAAGCATTTGAGAAATTTAAATTCAAGCAAGCAAAAATGCAGGTAGATATATACATTATTTTTTTTGTATAATTAAATTAAAATTAAACGAATCTGACTGTCTGGTTTATGCGTTTCGTGTCTCTAATTATGTTTCGTTTGTTTGAACAGTGTGAAGATGGACGTCCTACATATTTAAAATGTGGTTTCCGCGATAAATTACTGTACTGGTTAACCATTGCATTAACTATGTACTGTACATTCAGTTCGTTCAGATTCGTGTCTAAATTGGACTCGTGAACTTGGTATGTAACATTAATTATACTACAGAAAAAATATCACAATTAGAAAGAAATTGAGCAATGAAAAATTGTATAATACTCTCCAATAAAATTCTTAATTGAAACCTGGCACTTTTGATTATCAATTAATTAAGTAATAATACAGGAATTAATTTACAAATGTTTTTATATTAAATATCTTTACATATTATAAAATATTACTACACAGTACGTTACACATACATATTTTTTGAACAAATATTTTATAATGTACAGAATTTGGAAGAGATTTTAAGGCACTTGAATGCTCTGCAAATACCAATATGGAAATAATTGCACTTTCTCCTTGTGATACAGTTGTATTTCTTTCTAACGAAATTATTAATAATGAAATAATGTTGGGTAATATAAGATGTTCTATACTCTACAAAAAAATAAAAAAATAAAAAAAAAAATTATACTTAGAAAAGCAGAATCTAAATGCAAGAATATAAAGAGGAAATAAAAATCATTATTATACAGTAGCTTATCAAGTCTATAACAGTCAAGGGTCAATAATAAAATTGCATAGATTTCTTTTTTTAAACATGCATTGACAAATATTACTTTTATATCAAACAATATATAGATAAATATTTCAACATCTAAATATATAAAAAATTATTAAGATAGTTTTGTAATACGTGAAATAATTGATGTACAAATTAATATTATATAACAGCATACATATAAAGTCATATTTGTGGCACGTTTGTGATACTATACATTATACAAATGCTTTCCCATTTTGTTTAATATTCTTCGAAATTTCAAGCAATAAAACAGGAAAAGTAAATCTCATTTTTTTTCCGCGTTGGTAATGCACGAGCATCAATTAAGAAATATAATATATTCGTTATCACAGTATAACGTATTTACATGTGACTATAATTACATAACTGCCTCATTAAAAAGCATAAAACAGTTAATTATTTCTAACACTTAATTATTTGTATTATTTTCAACATTTTTTTGTATTATCTCGTCATCCCTTTCTTTGGAAGCATAATTTTTTACTATGTTATTTGACACATTATCAGCAGATTTTTGAGCATTCAATGGGACATTTTTATTGTTTGTGTATGTTGTAAAATATTTGTCTTGAATAACTTTATTTGTACCTAAATTTAAATTATCTTTAATATTAATATCTTCCGCGACTTTTTCTAATTTTTCCTTGCTATTCACTTTTTCTGCTTTATCATTATTTTGGACATTTATATCCTTCAAAGGTTCCGTTAAAAATGGGGAATTTTCTGTTGTTATTTTTGATTGATGTTGCAGTTTAAGTACGTCTTTTCTATTATCTAAATTATTTCCAACAAACGTTTTATATTTTTTTCTTCGTTGTATTAAATTTTTTAAAGCTTCGCTAAATTGCATCAGTGTCTCGGAAATTGGCCTGTCCATGTATGTAGCTTCAATTTTGTCAAACTGGTCATCTTCTTCAGAGACTAATTCACTCTTTATTTGTTTAAACTGATTTATTATATCTTTCAGACTTTCTTTGGCATCTTTGATTGTTCTTAGATCTTCACTTTTCGTCGTAGTATCTACTATATTTGCAGAATCTTCAGAAATTTTTGTACTTACTCCTGTAAATTGTTCACTATGGATAGTTTCCTTTTTAATTATCTCTGAATCTTCATGCACGAAGTCTTTCTCAAATTCTTTAAATTGATTAATTATATTTCTAATGTTTTCTCTTACTTTAATCGCTCTATGCTCCTTAGTCGTTTCTTGAATAATCGTAGGCTTTTCTTTTATTTCTTGTTTTATTGCGGTTTTGATTTTTTGCGGTAATATTTTTATCGGAACTATCTTCTTTACATCTACATTACTTTTTTCTGGAACTTCTGATATTTTCTTTTCGTCCATTAAATCTTTCCTGAGTTTAACTGCTTCCATCTTTTCTTGAATCAATTTTTTAACAGTTTCTTTTAGAGTACTACTACTTTCTTGCTGTACATTAGCAACTTTTTGTCTTTCTTTACCTATTTCCATTTTTTCAGTTTCTTCATTCTTTATATCTAATTTTTGTTCGTCGCTGATCGAAATATTTTTAATATTATGCTGTGGCTTATTATTACTTTCAGTAGTAATACTGTTTTCTATGTTGGTTACGTTTGGTACGTTTTCTTTTTCAATCGATGTTTCTGAACGCGATAAGTTGTTTTCGGATAAGTTATTATATACTTGTTCTATATTTAACGGTACGACGTATTCGTCGGAATTATTTTCTGTGCTAACTTTGATTGTTTCGTTCATTTCTAGGTCTAATGCGTTTTTATTACTAATGTTTAACGGCCTTTCAAATTCCTCCAATGACTCCATAATCTCACCTAATATCGGTTCCATATTCTTTACAGTGTCGTTTATTACATCTTTATTGTCTCTGTTTTGATGTATCTCACTTTGAGTTGACTGTTTTAAATAGGCTTGTTGCGGTTTTGCCCTTTTTGGGTCATATTTTATATTAGGCTTTCTTTTCATAATGAATATAATAGGTCTAGTTTTTATTCTTATCGGTGGTAACATGTTATAATTTAGTGCTATATGAGAGAAACCATCTACAGAATCCAGAATATCATGAGTTTTAAGATAGGGCTTTATATTCAGCGAGTATTTACTCTTAGCTTCCATTAATAGATGTGTAAATTGAAGCATTTCAGGATTATCAATGGTTAAATTTTCTTGCTTTGAATAACTGGAAGATAGTTTATATTAAACTAAATTATTTTTAACTGGAAGTTCGTCGTCTATTTTTATTTTTCGATTACTAATAAATTTTCAAATTAATAAAATTAATTGTACAACTTACATCCAAGAATCATTTGTTTGTGTAAATCTTGAAACTCCCGTTTGTGCGGTCAGAATATCAATGTGCACATGTACCGAATTGACAGAGTCTTTTTCAAGTCTGTGTAATTTTGCAATAGCTAAACCACCAGGATAGTTAGAACCAGCAACGCATAAAAGAAACATAGAGAACAGAGCATTTAAAACTAGATGCCCTAAAATGATCAGTGCCATAAATCCATTCCATGGACTTTTTGTTCTATTCTCCCATCTATTTTCAAAAAAAAAAAAAAGAAATGTACAATTATAATTTCGAGAACTAAATCTTAAAAGCAACTTAAAGAACTGAATTGGTAGGCACTGTACTTACATTCTATGACAAACAACTGCTGCGCTAACATTCAGTAATGGAAAGACATATATGATAAACCTCAGTTCTTTATGCGGTAGAAATGAGAATAAAGTAACAAATGCAATACCAGGAACTGTTAATGTTCGAACTCGAGCATCCCATAACATACCTAAAGGTACTAGAAAATATGACAAAGCCAGTCCACGTGGAAGTGCTGAATAGAAATACCAAAAAAATGGTGATGTCTATTTTTCTGTTAAGATCAGCAAAGATTTCTCATCTTAAATAAATTAAGCCTGCCTATGGCTTACACAATATTACAAGTAATTACAGTAGTGCCCACTTAAGTGTCCGCGCTCGGGAACGGTCGCGGTCGCTTAAGTGGGCATGGTTACTTCTCAGAATTCGACAGAGATAAGGGAAAGAGGAGATACAATAGGATAACCGCGAACGCTTAAGTGAGCAAAAGTGTGGTCATTTAAGTGGGCACTACTGTATAGTGTTTGATAAAGGATACACCCCAATCACTGCTCCTATTAAGAATAGTGTTGTAATAAAATACTTCTCCTTCAGGCCATATTAAATGTCTCCAAAATATAGAATCAATTGCAACTGTTAGCATTAAAAAAAATATACCAGCTGGTACCGCAATTTTAAGTAGTCTAAAAATTATTATTCTTATGAAATTATTACTCAGATAAAAGAACTATAAAGCATTTAAACGGATGAAACTTTTCCCATAATACAGTTATTATTTTTAATTGCTTTTCTTTTCTATTTGCAATAGTAGCGCAAATCTTGTTGCAAGGGATCTATGCTTGATTTAGTTATTTCTGAGAGAAGGGTTTCATTATGTTAGTAAGTTTTATAAGCAAACAAAGCTTACAAATCAGTGCAGTTTTGCAGAATGTCCTTTGATGATTCTAATCACTTCTGTTTGCAATGTTACAGCCATACTAGGAATCAATGGTCCACAATATAATATGTAAATACCTTGGTATGGTCAGTTTCATGTTGGCTATATCGTACAAAAGGAATAACCCCAGTAGCATAGCGAGCTCTGCTCTGAATATTATTATTGCTGCTGCAGATGACCAAATAAATATGATGTGATTTTGTCTCAACCACCCAAATAAAGCCAGTAGTACTAAAATATATCAACATTACTAAACTAATACTTTCTTTCTTTTTTATAAATATTTTTCAGATCAAATCAGAACCATATACAGGTGTCCCTCGAGTTACGCGGTTAATTGGTTCCGTGTAAGTCGAGACTCAGAATTAGTCTCTGAAATATTCCAAAATATATGCAAACTATTGTGAAATACCTATTGTCTTTTTTATTTAAAAACATATATTTTCTTTTTTTGCAATTTTTTTCCGCGTAACTCGAGAGATACCTGTATCATGCTTGAATTACCTAGTGGCATAGCCATTATATTTGGTAAAGGACGACTCAAGTAATACATAAAGTGATATTGTGTCACAGTAATTGCAACGAACCATTTAGTAAATTGCAAGCCAAAAATGTTTTGTAAGGCATTTCTATACAGTTTTAACATACTTATTACCAACAAACCCAATACTGCTCTTACTGGAAAGAATTCCATTGGTTATTTACCGGTTATTAGATAAAATCTTACAGATTAAGAAACTGTTTTCTCATTCAAGCCTAATATTAATAACAGATCAAGCAAAGGTGTGAACTAATACAAATGCAATTCATTCATCGATCGACTTACCAACATATTGAGCTAAGAATTTATTAAGTCGCAAATAATTAATAGTTGCTATTAGCGGCGATGCCAAGCCTGATATTATAATTGGTCCCACGAATGATCGTGGCACGACTCCAGGAAATTCATGGTGATCATACTATCACAGAATAAGAAATATGTTGCAAACGATTAGTGTTGAATTTTAATGATTTTACAGACATTTTAGCACGTAAACATTATAAACTGTTAGATTACAGTTTTCGATTAAATACGATATAAGATTATTAATACAATTAATTTAAAAAAATATTTTTCGGTGGGTAATGCAAATGTCTTGATTATACGGTTAGAGGAAAGTTGAGATAAACGTGTCGTTAAAGTGTTAGGCAAAGGGAAACTATATCAGCTGATCGTGAGCTTATAAATACATGCATCTGCTTCTAAATATAATATCTAAGTTTTTGCGTAATATCTGTTCGAGTACGTGTCAACAACCTGTCAAGGAAGATAAATATTCTTTTGTAACCTGTCTGTGTCCGCCTGATCCTTAAATGTTTATATTCACACGACATACCTTTGATAACTGCTATAATAATTACCTCGGTCAGGTTAAAGCCATGGTATAAAATGTCGTGCATAGCCTGCAGATTGAAACTTTCTTCCACTTTTGTGAATGGACAGTACAGTAAATGTACTATAGCAATTAAGATAATTAAGTGATCCATACTTTCCTCCTATATGTGGATCAAATTCAGAAACATTGTAAGACTTTGTGTTTTAATCATGACAAGCCGAACAAGTCGAACACAGGCAACTTTTTAAATGTTCCTTTCTTACACCGGGAATACCACGTCGTCTGCTGCGTTGGATCGTGAACGTTCGCGAACCCATTTCCGCTTCCAACTTTATAGGCTCAATAATCCCTAGGATTTCGCATTAATTCACTATAATTTTTTGTCGTTTTATTTCTAACTTTTTGCTTTAAATCGAATGCCTAGACATTTAGTTTGTATTTAAAATGTTTTTAATAAGAAGTTTTCTAGTTAGCGTAGATTTTAGGCGTGTAATAAGTTTGTATTATAATATTGTTTGGAATCAACCTGATATTTATTCTTAATTACTCAGTTGATAATGTATTTTGTTTTTTCTTTTAATATAAAGTTAGTTTATTAGATCCAGACGTTTGATTATAACAATAATGTTATAACATTCTCGTACGTTAACGTTCCTAATCATTATAAAAATCCACGTTCGTTTTTATAAGACGGTCTATATCGACGAAAACTTATAAAATAAATCACAATACTTGTAGTATTAATCAAGCTGTATTTCGTATGATTAATCCTTGTATTCCAAGCGATTTTCACTAATCACGTACGATTATTATGAGAAAGCTATACGTTTTGGGAGGATTGATTATAAAGTTACAAATACTCGTAACATTTCCTAACGCTACAGTATAAAAGAATATAAATACGTATAAGTTTAGCATTCCAAATTGTCAACATTTCTTGGAGACCATCGTCGAATTGGAACGCCCTCGAATTTTACAAACTTTAATCTCCTCTTCTTTGCAATTCGTAAACTCTAGTATTACTGTAACAAAAAAAGTTAAGTTCTAGTTATTAAATTTATTCTGGACGAAAAGAAGATCCGTGGGTCCTCTCGTCTCTATGCTAAGTAGAACAAATTACGTATCAATTTATTAAAATTCGTTTCCTTACGTACAGTATGTACAGTGTGTAGACAAAATTCGTATTTTATTGGTAAGGTGATCGCAAAATACATTTACTCCATGTACACGCACGCATACTCGTATGGCTCGAGCGAAAGCTGCAGCTACCAAATGATCGCATATCACGTTTTTTATTAGTTTACTACGCGTTTCTACGAGTATTGGGAATCCATGAAGTCCATTCGGTTATGTAAATAGAGGGTCGAGTATAGAAAATCTCGTAAAAAATTGTATAAGAAGTCCGTAAGGCAGAAATTACATTCGTATAAAATGGCGGATCGATCGTGGACAGGATACGAACGTCAAGGCCAAAAATGGTGGGAATTGAGATAGTGTCTGACGGTTCCGTGGCAATTTACGCGAAGAGATTGATTTCGTTAAAAAACTTGTTTCTTTTTATCATGCAAAAACAGTTCGATCTATCCTGTTCTCGATCGATGTACATGCATACATAATGAAGTTTTATCGTTCGCCCGGAGATAATTAGCGTTTGGGTTTCGGTGCTCGCGAGTGTACCGGTTTATTGTGCAACATGTGCTCGCATTTGGGAATGTGACGCTCGGCGGCGGCCTTGTTGAATTTCCTTCCGCAATGTGGACACTGAATGTAATCGCTGGTGTCGCTGGCAGGCGGGGGCGGCAGATCGCTTAGCTTGCCCCCCGCAGCCAGGTGTGCCTGCACCTGCTTGGCCGAGCGTATGGCGTTAATAAAATCCTCGTGCTTGCGTCTCCAGTTCGACTTCACCTCCGGTGGTTTCTGTAACATTCCAAACAACCATTTTCTAATCCTGGACCCGCCCAACCAGGTCCACCACTGGATGATTTTAACCCTTCGCGGTCGTAAAAGCGCCACAAAATGGTGACTGATACAGTAAATCACGCACACGTGACAATAGCCAATGTCTGCTAGCTTGCAAAGTCACGTATACGTGATAGCGGCCGTCAAAGCGTTAAGTGTAATTAAGCAAACATAAACTTAATACGATCGCAAAAGGGTTAATTGCTAATACAAGTTACATTCAGCAATTGTTCCTCCTGATCGCAATTACAAAAGGGTAGCCAAATTTGATCAGTACGTTCCACGAGTTTAAGTAAATGCTTCCAAAAGGGATTAGTATTGAGAATGTTGATGAAACTGGATTATACTGACCTCGGGCTGCTTTTTACAGTGCCCTTTTCTCACGAATTTCTCTAGCTCGGTACCTTTTACTCGGAACATCACCGTGTCGAATTGTTTCCTCTTCTTCTGGCCCGTTTTCGCGCAAATTTGCTCGTGAAGGGTCACGCGGTCCTGAGCAAAACGGCGTCCACATATTTTACAGGGGACCAAAAGGTCACTGCAAGGATATTTTCTTTGAGATTATAAAATAGTCTGCGCAGAAAAGGATTATAATAGAGAATAGATTCAGTGTAAAATTACGAGTAATACAAATTACTAAATCCAAGTGTAAAAGAAAAGGAAGAGGACAAAGTCCCAGAGAAAAATAAAAAAATAATTGCGATTGTAATTGATTAAATATACTCTGGTTGAATTTGGTACTTAAACAAATATAATTTCATTTCTTTTACGATGTAAATTTGCCAAAGCTGTTCGTATTTACGTGGCACACATGTTTCCTCCGCCTCTGGTGGAAGCTGATCTTTTCGACGCCGTTGTAGCGGAAGCTGGCGCGTGCACTTTCGACGCCATTCTACTTTTGGGACTGGAAACGTGGCTCTGCATGGTGCTACCGCTAGAGGTGGACGAAACTGACGAAGGTGGCCGACCAGATTGCGTGGAAGGTGTTTGCTTCTGAGCAGAACAAACGTTAAATTTATATCAATTAAACCACGATAAAAAATAAGAGTAACTTGCGTGGTACCGGCGACTTTTAAACGTCAGGTTCATGGGAAATTTTGCGGCACCGGAACTCGAAAATTTCGCTCGATACGGTCCCGATTGTTTACAAAACGTAGAAATAGGAATCCATGTGGTTCCACGCTTGGAATACCCGGGCAGGTCGGGATCAAAGAACTGGAGACATTTTATCATCCGAATTTCCGTCGATACCAATCGGTCTTCTATTTACTTTCTGTCATTTCCAACTTCCGAGTCGTCGTGGAAAAATCGCGCGCGATGCTCGATTGGCACAATTCAGATGACAGTTTACCGAAAAGTCAATTTGAATATTGCTGGAATTAAATAGGAAATAAGAACATTGTATCGTGGGTCGTTGAATCAGAAAATCTTTTAAAGATTTGAATGGAAACTCTATTTTATTTCTTTGGAGTAGGCTCCGAGAGAATGCAAGAGAACGTAATGCGGTATTTTATTTATGCAGGTTATATACTTCTAATTCCAAATTGTAAATTTTGTTACAAAATTCTTCAAATTTTTTTTTAACGACGAAAAGGTACTTGTTGAATAGTTGATAAAATAATTCTAATGATTTTTTAAAGAAACACGCTTTCACCTTACCATACTGAGATTATTAATACCGTATTTAGCGGTTTAAATATTTGACGATAAAATAACACTTTTATTTACAACAGTAACGTCTTCCATTATTCCGACAGAACGAGGGCGGTCATTACGAAACACAGTCATTTTAATTACTTGTTTTCTCAGTAGGTGTTTCGTTACTGCCACTTTTATGTCATTTTCAAGCACGTTCCAGTAGGAGGACATTAACTGTTGACGCGCCTGGTTTCATAGTGCCCAGTGTTATGATAAAGTGAAAGCAGCGGTGCAACTGTTCTCGCTTCGTAAGCAGCTAATGAATTTTTTGCCACAGAAATAGAAAAGCTGGCAGAGATATCGAACACGACACTCACGTCGTGAAATAATCTAAGTTGCGTATTATTATTTCTTCTTTACTTCAAAAATATTATATCGTTGAACTGGTCCTATCCCCAGTAGCAGCTGTATAAAATAATTACTGTGCATCAAAAATTATTACGGATCGTCTAATTTATGTATTTCAGTGATCGATATCGACTCACTTCCATAGATTGTTTTCTTAACCGCGGTTTCCTCGGAAGTGACCCATCGTTTTCCTTCGGCGGTTGCTCGTCGAAGTCGATGACAAAAGCGTTGCTCTTCTTCGTCGTCGGCGAGTCGTTATCGTATTTCGTTTCGGCAGTTTGGTCTCGTAAATGCAGACCATTCTCGAGAACAGGGCCATCGACGACATCCGTCGATTTTCTCGTAGTCGTCGTCGTCGTCTTCCTGTTTCCAATTGGCTCTGTGCCTTTCATAGGCGCTGGTCGTTTCGTCGATTTTGTATCTTGAGCTTTCGAGTCGGTGGAGGGACGCTATAATGAGAAACCGTTCGTTCAGAACTCGTTGAAAAATTATCGACACGCGTCTACGCTTGAATCGCGATCGATCGATCGTTCGAGATAGCGTGCAACTAATTTAACAATATCAACTCTGCGATGGAGAACGAAGCGTCGCGTGTCGGATTGAATTCCGATTTCTTCTCATTGTCCGATAAATTAACCGTAGAATGGTTACTTTCGATATTCTGAGGCACTCTGTATATAGTGCTCCGACATCCCTGGAAAAAATTTTAATGGGAGATTCTAGAGGCCAAAATAAGACGAAAATCAAGGATACTAATTTGTTGATTGAGGCTTCGTTAAAAAGTTATAGAAACATTTCCGGTCACACGGTATATTTTCGGTAAAGAATTTTTTTCTCGAAAGTGCATAGGATTTCGGGGGTATGTCTAGTGACCAAAAATGATTGTAATTGACCCCTGCAACCAAAAATAATTTTTCCAGAACGATTTGAAAATTTTCAATTTTGTCGAATTTGTCCACCTTCCTGAATTTTTTTTTCGAAAGTGCGACGGATTTCGGAGGTATGTATATTCACAAAAAATGATTGTAATTGTCCCCTGCAACCAAAAATAATTTTTCCAGAACGATTTGAAATTTTTTAATTTTGTCGAATTTGTCCACTTTCTTGAATTTTTTTCTCGAAAGTGCATAGGATTTTGGGGGTATGTATATTCACCAAAAATGATTGTAATTGACCCCCACAACCGAAAATAATTTTTCCAGAATGATTTGAAATTTGTTAATTTAATTTTTTAATAACTTTTTAACTTTTTTAGTATTCTTGATTTTCGTCTTATTTTGATCTCTAAAATTTTTCCCTGGGGTGGCCGAACACTCTGTATACTTAATTGGTGAATCATGCTATCTAGTAATTGAAACTTCGTAAACAAAGACGAAAATTAATTCCACAATTTTGTTTAATATTCGCAATATATAAATTTAACAATCAATGCCAATAAATTCTGCGAACATATAGACTTCTTCTCCTCTCACACCGCATTCATACAGAAATTAGATAATACTGCTAGATTAAGACAATTTACATAATTTTATAAGTAATACACCTAAGTATGACATCTCTTATAGTTACGTTTAATTGCAATTTGTCATGTCATCACTCATTGTTACATACTTTATAACTTCATATGATTTCATATTTACATATATTCTATACTTATGTCTCCCTATTTTTGTATACAATAAATTCTTAGCAAAACGACTAAAAAAGTGGCAAAATAATTCAGTTAAATTTTCCGGACACAAATAACAATATTTCGTAAACATTTCCATGGAATTCTGCTTACCCTCGACACCGTGTCCGGGCTTTTCGACGGCGATGGTGGAACATTTCTTCTTGTACGGTTGCCCGGCGTTTCCGTCGCTCTGCTCGAATCTGGACTCGGACTTTTCGCAACCCTGGAGAAAGAACGATCCCAGTCCCTTAAACAATTGCCCGCGCTAAGATTCTCTGATCGTTTTGGCAAGGATGCTTCCTTTCTGTTTCCAACGCGTACGCCATTTTCCCGACGCGTTTCGCCCGCGCTCGACCATTTTGAAACGTCGTTCGCAATGGCTGACCTAGACCACGATTCCCGCGCTTTGCGACCTGGACTCTCGTTCTCGATAGATTTCCGAATATCCTCGATCGATCTCAGCTGTTTCACGGACGTGAATTCACCCGTTGATGCCTCCTCTTTTCTTTCGTCCGACTTTTTCATCGACGTTCCGTCGCCCGCGGCGGTTTTCACGAATTTCGAGGTTACTTTCACGGAATCAATCGCGTCGCGTTTACCGGGCTTCGAAACACGTTCCGCAGTTTTCGTCGACCTCGAGCTTCCGTTTCCGGTTCCCTCCCCCAAATCCTCGCCCCGGAAGAGCCTTCGTCTGCACGCGGGCGATTTCGATCTTACGACGATTTCAGCGATCTCTATCGAGTCCCTGGCCCTCGCAAGCTTCTTCTGTCCTCCTTCTTGGGTCTCGATCGTCATTGGAATCCTCTTTAAAGACGTCCTCGACGTCTCCGGGCTCCGCGGAAAATTTACATTCGTACGATCGAGTGCTTTCAGAGAAATCGTCCTCGAGCCACCCGCTGAGCCTTCAATCCCGCTCGATTCGTCCAGCGTTTGTCTTTTCTCCGCTACCGATTCTTTCCCTCGTTCCAGCGTACTTTGAGCGGACGCTGCGCCAAGTTCTTTGCCAATAGAATCGAAACGTCTGAGTGCCGACTCCACGGAATCCGTTCTCTCATAATTCCTGTCGGAGTCTCCATCGTATTTGATAAACTCACCCACGATATTTCTTGCGTCCTCCTGCTCCGAGTGCGTTTCTCTCATGATCCTTCGAACCAGTTCTATGGACCCTAAAGCTTGAGCTCGCTTTTGGGACGTTTTCTCTTGACGTTTCCTGCCACGAAATCCAGATTCGCTCGTGGGAGAAGGACTGGAGCGTTCGTTCCTTGTTGTATTTTGTTCCAGACGCTTCGAATTGACAGTCGTGCTCGATTTGGAGACTCTTCGATGCTCGGTTGTCTGCTGATGCTTCTTCGACGGCTCGAAGATATTCGACTCGAAAAGGGATCCTCTCTTTTTGCCCGGTTTACGCACGGAATACGTGGACGCGTTCTCAGCCTTTGTCTCCGCGAAATTTTGCGTTGTTTTATCGGAGGATCTCGAATAAGTTCGAAGCTGCTCCTGTTGAAGTTTCCCTCGTTCCACGTATTGATCGGGCATCGTGATTTCTTGAATCTCCGCGTCCACCTCCACGGAAAGCGAGCTCTTAGGACTCGATTCCGGAGCGAGAGTTTCGTATTCTAGGTTTCTATTCGCCCCGAGTTCAACAGTTTCGACCTCCATTGCATGGTGTCTTCCTTCTGTCGTGTCTTCGAACGCAACGGAAGATCTACGCGAAGTTTTTGTATCTTTTCCCAAAGTACGATCACCGTGATCCTTATGTTTTTGGTGTTTTATAATGTCACGAATGAGTTTGGTCGACCGTAGGACATTGCCAGATCCTCTTCGAGAGGCTACTTTGGTGTCTTTGGGCGCAGAGAATACGTCAGGGCTCTTTGACGATCTACCAGACTGAACACCCGTGGAGCCTGGTCGAGGACTATTGAAACGTTTGTACATCGAATCTTTCGTGGATTTTGGTTTGAAGCTTATGGTTGTGGCGGACTTTTCTGTCTCGTAGCAAAAAGATTCTGGTGATTTGCTTCTGGCATCCAATTCACTACTGTTCCTCCTACTCATAGTTCCAGTTACTTTGATATCTTTGGGAATATTGAGCATGTCAGGGCTCTTTGATGATCTAGCTTTAGAAGGAACACTTGGAGAGCTAGTTGGTCTTGATCGAGGACTTTTAGAACGTTCAGTTTTGTCTATAGAGGATCTTGGTTTGAGAGTAACAGTTGTACCAGACTTCTCTGTCTCGTAACAAAAGAATTCTGGACTCTTGCTTCTGATGTCTACGATTTTGTGTAACTTTGGTGATGATTCATCACTGTTTCTCCTACTCATACTTCCAGTTACTTTGATATCTTTAGGGATACTGAAGATGTCAGGGATCTTTGATGATCTACCTTTGGGATGAACACTTGGAGAGCTACTTGGTCTTGATCGAGGACTTTTAGAACGTTCATCCATTGAATTCATCGTGGATTTTGGTTTGAAGCTCATAGTTGTGCCAGACTTTACTGTCTCGTAGCAAAAAAATTCTGGTGATTTGCTTCTGGCATCTAATTCACTGCTGTTCCTCCTACTCATAGTTCCAGTTACTTTGATATCTTTTGGGATACTGAGCATGTCAGGGCTCTTTGATGATCTACCTTTAGGATGAAAACTTGGAGAGCTACTTGGTCTTGATCGAGGACTTTTAGAACGTTCAGTTTTGTCTATAGAGGATCTTGGTTTGAGACTAACAGTTGTTCCAGACTTCTCTGTCTCGTAACAAAAGAATTCTGGACTCTTGCTTCTGATGTCTACGATTTTGTGTAATTTTGGTGAAGATTCACCACTGTTTCTCCTACTCATACTTCCAGTTACTTTGATATCTTTAGGGATACTGAAGATTTCAGGGCTCTTTGATGATCTACCTTTAGAAGGAACACTTGGAGAGCTACTTGGTCTTGATCGAGGACTTTTAGTACGTTCATCCATTGAATTCATCGTGGATTTTGGTTTGAAGCTTATAGTCGTGCCAGACTTTTCTGTTTCGTAACAGAAGAATTCTGGTGATCTGCTTCTGGAATCCAATTCACGACTGTTCCTCCTACTCATAGTTCCAGTTACTTTAATATCTTTGGGAATACTGAACATGTCAGGGCTCTTTGATGATCTACCTTTAGGAGGAACACTTGGAGAGCTACTTGGTCTTGATCGAGGACTTTTAGAACGTTCATCAGTTTTGTCTATAGAGGATCTTGGTTTGAGACTAACAGTTGTTCCAGACTTTTCTGACTCGTAACAAAAGAATTCTGGACTCTTGCTTCTGATGTCTACGATTTTGTGTAATTTTGGTGATGATTCATCACTGTTTCTCCTGCTCATACTTCCAGTTACTTTGATATCTTTAGGGATACTGAAGATGTCAGGGCTCTTTGATGATCTACCTTTAGGAGGAACACTTGGAGAGCTACTTGGTCTCGATCGAGGACTTTTAGAACGTTCATCAGTTTTGTCTATAGAGGATCTTGGTTTGAGACTAACAGTTGTTCCAGACTTTTCTGTCTCGTAACAAAAGAATTCTGGACTCTTTCTTCTGATGTCTACGATCTTTTGTAATCTCGGTGACGACTCACGACTGTCCTTTCTACTCATACTTTTAGTTACTTCTACATCTTTAGGAGTAATGAAGATGTCAGGGTTCTTTGATGATCTGCCTCTAGAATGAACACTTGTAGAGCTACTTGGTCTTGATCCAGAATTCTTAGAACGTTCGTCAGTTTTGTCTATAGAGGATCTTGGCTTGAGACTAACAGTTGTACCAGACTTTTCTGTCTCGTAACAAAAGAATTCTGGTGATCTGCTTCTGGAATCCAATTCACGACTGTTCCTCCTACTCATACTTCCAGTTACTTCTACATCTTTGGGGATACTCAACATATCAGAGCTCTTTAATGATCTACCTTTAGGAGGAACACTTGAAGAGCTACTTGGTCTCGATCGAGGACTTTTAGAACGTTCCTCAGTTATGTCTATAGAGGATCCTGGCTTGAGACTAACAGTTGTTCCAGACTTCTCTGTTTCATAACAAAAGAATTCTGGACTCTTGCTTCTGATGTCTACGATCTTCTGTAACCTTGGTGACGACTCGCGACTGTTCTTCCTACTGATACTACCAGTTACTTCTACATCTTTAGGTATACTGAACGTGTCAGGACTACTCTTTGATGATCTACCTTTAAGATGAACATCTGTAGAGCTGCTTGGTCTTGATCGAGGACTTTTAGAACGTTCGTCCATTGAACTCATCGTCGACTTTGGTTTGAGACTAACAGTCGTTCCAGATTTCTCTGTCTCGTAACAAAAGAATTCTGGACTCTTGCTTCTCGATCCTGATCGAGGACTTTTAGGACGTAAATCACTTTTATCTATAGAAGACCTCGGTTTGAAACTAACAGTTGTCCCAGGCTTCTCACCTACTTTCATCGTCCTGGTAGGTTTTCCATTTTCAATGTTTAAAAATGATAAATTTCTGTTTCCTGGAGTAACAATGTTTACGTCTTTTAACGACACTGGCGAAGAACTACGTGACATGTCGGAGCATCTATCAGTTTGCAACGATCGAATACTGTTTTCTGCATCGATATTTCTCGAAGCTTTTTCACATTGTTCAGCGAAGAATCGCGATACCGAACTTCGTATATTAAATCTAGAGCTTTCGTCGATGTTCTCCTTGGACGATCTTCTACTTGGCCAAGTAATTCTATCCTTGACTGCCAAGTCAGACCTATTGCCAAAGGATCTTTGACCATCTTTGCTTGCAGGCGTTGGCGATCTTGTCTTCATTTTTGTTATCGTTTCTGGCGTCACCAGCATAATGGTGGCTGATCTATCCGCGTCACTGGAAAAGAACCGAGGACTGGACTTTCTGAAAACTGGCGATTTTGGTGCAGCAGTACGAACACTTCGACGATCGTGTTTTCGAAGAACTATCGGACTGTTGCTGCGTTTTCTTACAATCTTCTCAGGAGGATCCGGAGATTTAAACGCGCTTTTTAAATTCACAGTTCCAGATTCGTATCGAGGACTAGCACCACGGTCCCTCGTTAATCGTTCGAAAACACTGACCGATTTCAAGCGACTTTTGCTTTCAATATTCTTGCAACTCATTGTGTCGTGTTTCAAACTATCCGGAGAAGAACTTCCGCTGATTCTTCCAGGCCCAGGAGATTTAATATCCCTGTCAACTGTATCGATACCAACAATCACAGATCTCTCTGTCTCGTTTTCATTGGGTTCTGAAAACCAATCTTCGTTTCTCTTTGGTCCTATTTTCACCACGTTACGTTTAACATCCTTCGAAGATTTCCCAACAGCTCTCGAATCTATCGCGTAAGTAGTGGCAGATTTTTCAGACTCTCTGCAAAAGAATTTTGGACTCTCGCTCATTCGAGTTTTCTCAGACTCCGACGACGACACGGTCTCTTCCACGTTCTCGATCGCGAATCCTTTCCTTCTTCTGTTCTCACCAATCCTCGTCCTACCGTCGTTGCCTCTGTTGCTACGAAATCACAACCAATATATCCTAACTTTCGATCGAAAACAATCGTAACAAAAATTCCGTGGTTAACCTTATCTTTCTATTCTTTTCTTTGCCCCCACGACGCCCCCTTCGACGGTGTTAATCCTGCCTGATCGTTGCTGTTAAGTGTACAGGATAGATGAGGAAGAAGCGAGCCGAGAATAAATGATTTTTGCATGATTCCTCCTCTGGCAGCGGGATAAAAGCTTCCTCGATCCTCGATCCTCGGAATCAACGATTTTGTTAAGTACGGCGTTACAAAGGGTAGCTTCAAGCCTCGTGAAAAGCCACCGCGGTGCTTCTCGTCTGGTTGGCATAAAAGAGACTGGTGTTTATTGGCCGCGTATGCGTGATTAATGCCTCGCGGGTACCTCGTTTCTTTTCTTTTATTTTTTCTCACGGCTCCTCGGGCTAATGACGCTTCATGCTTGGCGAGTAATTGTTATGCTGATGGAGTGTTTAATGTCCTTCGACCGATTATCCTTTCTCCGATAGCGGTTAGGCGGACGTAAATTAGAGCGTCTTCCTCCTCGTGACAAACCGGAGACGCTGCGCCTCTGCTTTGCCGGAAACGCGTCGTTTAGTTGCTCTTTCAAGGCGATCGCTTCCAGGGAGCGTGTATTGTTAGGCTACTACGGTTGCGTGGGTTTAAACGAGTCGAGTCTAGTCAGCGATTGCAATTATGCGACGAGAAATTAATCAAGAGGGGGGACTGAAGGGGGGCTGGTTGAAGAACAAGGGTTGGGAGGGGGAGGGTGAAAGCAGCGACAGATTGTTAGCATTGATTGCCAATTAGCGACCAGAGAGTTTGCGTTTGTCAAGGTTCGATGCGATCATCGGGACTGTTAACCTACTTGCGTTTTAAAGTATTACGGTGTCCCAGAAAATATTGCGTTTCGTTTCCTGGTTATTTTTACACTGTCCATGGCGATGTATTTTGTTGGAAAGGTTCTTTAGACAGATGATTACGAAAATATATCTTTTATACCAATCGAAGCTTTGATGCTTTCAGATTGTTATTGGAAACAAAATTATAAAATTATAATTCATGGAATCAATCACAGAATTTTCTAAACAAAATTCTAGTCAATACGTCAAATAAATTTTAGATCGTTAATGCAAACAAAATTATAAAATTATAATTCATGGATTAAAATTATTTAATAATATAATTCATAGAATTCATAGAATAAAGTTATTTAATAATATAATTCATAAAATAAAATTATAATTTATAGAAACAATCATAGAATTTTCTAAATAAAATTCTAGACAATACGTCAAATAAATTTTAGATCGTTATTGCAAACAAAATTATAAAATTATAGTTCATAGAATAAAATTATTATAAAATTATAATTCATAGAATCAATCATAGAATCTTCTAAGCAAATTCTAGACAATACGTCAAATAAATTTTAGATCGTTATTTGAAACAAAATTATAAAATTATTAAATAATATAATTCATAGAATTCATAGAATAAAATTATTATAAAATTATAATCATAGAATCAATCATAGAATTTTCTAACAAAATTCTAGACAATACATCAAATCAATTTTAGACTCAATCATAGAATTTTCTAAAAAAATTCTAAACAATACATCAAATAAAATTTAGTCTCAATCATAGAATTTTCAATATTCGATAAAAAATTCTGGACAGTACGCCAAATAAATTTTAATAAAAAATTCCATGATTGAGATTAGAATTTATTTGACGTATTGTCAAGAATTTTTGTTTTGCAGTTTCATGCAAGAAAATTGTTTAGAATTGAATTAAGAAATATTTAAATATGGAGCTCCAACGTCTCGTTGTAATTATTGTTTGGACAATTGAGGCTTCGATGCACGAAATATTTTCTGAGACACCCACGATGTATTCGATGTTTACTGGAGTCTGAGTAATAAGTTTGTTCGGATTTTGTGGCGGAACGACGATTATTATTTATATATACGACGTATAATCATTAATGTATTCCTTACCTTGTTTTTATAGCGCTTTGACTACAATAAGAGTTAATTTATTTGCTCGTATTATTAAAATTAATTCGTACGCGATAAATAATTGGAGGCTTGTTTGTAAATATAAACAGCAATGTTATTTGTGAGTTCTCGTTTGATTTACAGATCCTTTAGAGGAGTATATTTTTTTAAATATAAATATAATAAATATTACGTTAAAGTACGCGTGATTATAACGATCGAAATGTAGAATAAACGAAAAATTGAGTTTTCGTTGATTGCTATAAGCAGTGACAAGAACATTCGTCTTTGAACTAACAAATTGAAAGTCGATCTTGTTTCAGGTTCCTAATAAATAACATTGTTCTGAAAATGTCTCGAAAAAGCGGGTCGACAACGTTTTACTACAATAAATTGCTCGAATCGGCTAACGATTTATCAATTTTCTTTTTCTAGAGCCATTAATATTACTTTTATTTGCTTTTTTTGCTGTAAATGTATTTGAAGAATTACATCAGTGGCAAAAATAATTTTTTGGACTGACTTTTCAAGCTTCTTATGTGATCTAATTCACTAGATTCGAAATTTCTTGTAAAATTATTAATTATAGACATTTCAATGGAGTTTAAGAAGGTAAATGAAATACACTTGAGATTGACCATCATCCCAACATACGAACGAACTTATTACTCGATATTTTCAACTCGTTAATACTTTCTCGATGAATAGTCAAATATTTCTAAACACTTCAAAGGTATATTTCTGCATACTACCAAGAAAAGAACAGAAAAATAGTTGCAACACGCGATGCGTGCATTTTAGCTGAAACGAATAAATGATCCAGAGGTCGAAAAAAGGAATTAACATAGCAAATTAATTTTCTTTTTTAATAGAATATTCTCTTGATAATTTTGCAGCGAACATGCTTAGTATCAGAAGCTTTTTTAAAAACTATTCTTCTGGGACAAGTATTTAGAAATTTCGTACAATGAAATTTCCCCAGGAAACAATTGTTTCAGAACCATTTATTATAGCATATTGCATTATTAACATTGTAAATATTAACTGAATTTATTTACTTTTCATAAATTCCATTTGCATTAAAACTTTTATTCGTCAAAAGCTCCCTTTAAACTGTTTAAATGGAACCTGTTAAAAAATGTTCGCGACTGTTTCCAACCTCTGGAATAATCTGATGATTTGCATTAGCAGCGATGAAAGTCGAAATGGGAAATTGAGTTCTTAACTTTAGTTTTAATATATTTGAGATGTCCTTTGGTAAAATTTCTTTTGTTTTACGTACCTGGGAGTAGACTTTACCGGATATATCGGGTCGAACCGTTTCTTCGGGGCGCCGATCGTGTTTGTATTTTTCGCGATGCTGTTATTTCGTTTCGCGTTCGCGTTCCTGAAACGCTCCAACCTAGCTTCCGCTTGAGACAGCTTCTTGGTAACACTTTGTTTCGGAAGCTTGTCGGGAACATCCACCATAAAGTCCTCCGGGAATTCCTCGCTTTCGAGATCGTTTTTAACGCGGTGTTTCAGCGTTTCGTCGTACTGCATCAAGTGAAGTTTCGCCATCATGCGATTCCTCTCTATCGTGTCATCATTCAGAACCTCCTCGATGTGTGTCTTTACGAATATTTCAGACCAAGTTTATTCCACAAACACAGTGTTTTTTAGAATTAAAATTTACTTGAAAGAGAGTACTAAAAGACGCTGAATATACAGGGTGTTCGACCATCCCTGGACAAAATTTTAATGGGGGATTCTAAAGGCCAAAATAAGACGAAAATCAAGAATACCAATTTGTTGATGGAGGCCTCGTTAAAAAGTTATTAACGTTTAAAGTTCCACCAGTACTGAATTTTTTTCTCGAAAATGCGCAGGATTTCGGGGGTATGTCTATTCACCAAAAATTATTGTAATCGACCCCCACAACCGAAAATAATTTTTTTAGAACCATTTGAAATTTTTTTTCCCGTCGAAAAATTTCACACATTCTTGAATTTTTTTCTCGAAAATGCATAGGATTTCGGGGGTATGTCTATTCACCAAAAATGATTGTAATTGACCTTCGCAACCGGAAATAATTTTTTTAGAATGATTTGAAAATTTCTTTTTCGCTGAAAAATTTCACACCTTCTTAAATTTTTTTCTAGAAAGTGGGTAGGATTTCGGGGGTATATGTAATGACCAAAAATGATTGTAATTGACCCCTGCAATCGAAAATAATTTTTCCAGAACGATTTGAAATTTTTTATTTCATCGAAAAATTTCACATCTTCTTGAATTTTTTTCTAGAAAGTGGGTAGGATTTCGGGGGTATGTCTATTCACCAAAAATGATTGTAATTGACCTTCGCAACCGGAAATAATTTTTTTAGAACGATTTGAAAATTTCTTTTTCGCTGAAAAATTTTACACCTTCTTGAATTTTTTTCTAGAAAGTGGGTAGAATTTCAGGGGTATATGTAATGACCAAAAATGATTATAATTGACCCCCGCAACGGAGAATAATTTTTCCAGAACGATTAGAAATTTTTGAATTTAATTGTTAATAACTTTTTAACGAAGCCTCCATCAACAAAAGATTTTTCATAGTAACTAAGAGTTTACATTATTCATTCGTATCTAACTAATTCCCTGTCATTTCCATATTTTCCCTATTTTTTTAGAGCAAGACCGATGTTGTTTGTAATTTTGAATTTCGTTTGTAAAATTCTAAAATATTAAATCTGCTCGTAATTTATGAATTAGTAAGTTTGAAATCGCGTCAAGCAGATATCCCGACGGTTTTTATCTCGTCGAAGAAAATCACCGTGGCCTGTAGCGAAATACCTCGTCTCGGTGGTTCCCATTTGCATATTGCGCCACATGGTTCTCGTTCCCGAACTCGTCGTCGTCCGGGTGTTGCTGTCCAGAAGGTCCAAACGATTCACGAGTGATTTCCTCGTGATACGAGACGACCGGTTTGCCGCCATTCAAATTACTGTTCACGTCAGCCCGCGCCACACGCTTCACAGTCACGGAGTGTCGGTTCACCGTCAAATTTCCGTTCTTCTGCACCGCGTTTCCGTTCGTTTGTTTCCGTGGTTTGTTCTCCAGCGGTTCCAGCGGGTAGCTCCTGTCGATGCCCTTTACGGTCGTCTGGCGTCTTTCGTCGAACATCTGCCTCACCTTAACACCACGAAACCACACATACCCGCGATTACCCAAAACTCTTTATGAGAACTGCAGAGTTCAATAAACTGCACTTTGGGGGAACAGTTTGCGTTATGTAAATTAAAAATATGATTTTTTAAATACATGATAAATTTTATGAGACTCACAGTAAACTGCAAGTTGGCTAAAAATAAATTTTGACTGATATCCAATGTGAGTTTCAAGTGTCCAGCATTGAAATTAAAATATTTATCAATTGCAATTTAGGATGAGTTTTGAGCTGTTTATAAATTATGAATTACTCAAAACTGTTTATTCTCTCTGTAAATATAATTTTAATGAATTGTGATCGATGCACAATATGAATTTCAAGTGTCCAACATTAAAATTCAAGCAGTCTATCAATTGCAACTGATTCAGGATAAATTTCGAACGATTTATAAATTGTGAATTAATCGAAACTGTTCATTCTATCTGCAGAGTTCCATAAACTGTACTTTCATGGGGTAGTTTTCGTTATATAAGTCAAAAATACGATTTTTTAACTGCAAGTTGGCCTATAATAAATTTTGACCAATACACAATGTGAATTTCAAGTGTTCAAGAATTTCAATATTAAAATTCAAGTAGTCTATCAATTGCAACTGATTCAGGATAGATTTCAAGTGACTTATAAATTGTGAATTACTTAAAATTGTTTATTCTCTCTGCAGAGTTCCATAAACTGTATATTGAAGGGGCAGTTTGTATTACATAAATCTAAAATACAATTTTTTTAGTTCACGATAAATTTAACGAGACTCATGATAAATTGCAAGTTCATAATTTGTGACCAATATACCAATAATGTGAATTTCAATTATCCAGTATTAAAATTTAATTAATCTATCAATTGCAATTCAGGATGAGATTCGAGTGACTTATAAATTGTGAATGGTGAGTAATGTTTAGGTTCGTAGAAATTTCAGTGAAAACGCGTTTCATTGCGATGAATCACCCACCTTACCACCTTGCGAGGTCGAGGTTGAGTGGCTGCTGGTCGAAGTCCTTGTGACGGTATGACTGACAGAGGAACCATGATTCGAGTTATTGGAACCGGCGCTGCCTCGTTGCACCACCTGATAAGCCCTCTGCTGTTGCTGGTCGTACAGCTGCAGCAGCTTCTGTTCCTTCTCCTGAAGCTGCTTCTGCTGGAATCGGGCCTGCGACAGGCGCAAATTTCCTTTTATTTTTATCATCACACTCTCCACGAACGATGTCTTCTTATTTAGAATTCTTCAAACTTGAGGATCCAAATTAAGACAAATTAAAATTGTTCGATAGTTTAGTTAGTCGAGATACGAATAATAGATCTCCCTGATGATTCAAACGATTGAAATTGTCCAGTAGTTCAATGTTAAAATAAATTTATTTAATACGCGATATCTGAATTTTGAATTTCAATGATTCGTTTCTAATCTAAAAAAAAAAACCACACAGATTCTTCGTGTATCCAATCATGCACTCCTATTCCTTCACCGTAGATCGTCCACGAAACGAACAAACACAGTTCGTAGAGTTTCCAAAAATAATTTTTTCGGAACGCACAGTCTACCATTTAAGTTTACTCGAGCGTGGAAGCGTTTAAGGAAGTTGATTTCAGATTTCTATTATCGTTCTTTGGGTTCTGAATTTGTCGATCTCCGATTATCGGCAGACCACTCGTTAGGGGAAAAGTATTTTTCTAATTAAAGGAAGTCGAGATCCGCAACCGTAGTTAACGCGAGTCGGCTCGCGACTCCTGGTTAATCGCGTCTCATACGACCATAGTCACGCGCGCTATAGTTGCAATGGCATACGCGGGGCTCGTACGCTGCCCGACGTGCAATCTCATCGATTCGTTTTAACCTACATACGAAGGGGTTAGTAAACTCGTTGCCACGCTAAAGCGGATCGTTCCTCCGTTAATTTGACACCCGCAATACGATTACGCGCGGTGCTTTTCCACGACTTTTTCGTTTATTCGACGAACGTATCGACGGATCGTTCGAACCTTCGTCCGATCGTTTTTTCTACGTTCGATTGCGCGAAACGTACGGGGTGTCCAGTTTCCATCGAACTGCACGAACAGTCCTCTCGAACGGAATAGCTGTTACCTACTTGTTAGCGGGTTCCGGTCCTCGAAACGGTCAAAATAAATTTTCAACGACTGATTGCTATTTTATCTAAACGTACGAACTCTATTCACGCTCGACGAGGGACGAACAGTTCGTACGATAGGAGTCCACTGATTATTCCCATTACTTGCCTTCAGAGAAAACAATTATTTACAAAAAAATGCTGGCTAGTAATTACGTAAACATCCTGTATAGAAGTTTATATTCATTTTCAATTAAATAAATAATTTATGATACAGTTTTATCGCATCACAGGTCGTATAATCAATAGGAGTCGTTGAAACTTCTTTGGGTGTATAAAGTTTAAGTAAATTTCAAAATAAACATAGAAGACAGCATAAATTATAGTAGTTAGCCCAGTCATCGGATAGGGGATGAAATGCCCTTTAAAACGAGCGTTTGTAGAAGTTGATAGCGTTATTAGTTCCGGAGATATGAGGATTTTAGTTTCAAGTCGATCGCGTCAAAGTAAATTGCAAAATAAACATAGAAGACAAAATAAATTCTAAAAGTAGTTACGTACATTGGATAGGGGATGAAATGCCCTTTAAAATGAGCGTTCGTACCAGTCGATAGCTCAATTAGTTCCGGAGATATGAGGATTTTAGTTTCAAGTCGATGCGGTGGCTAGTTTCAGAGATACGAGGGTCCGAAGCGTTTGTTTACGTTTCATTGAGATCAATGAACTCGCGCGCGCGACAGTAGTAAACAGTGCGTAGTAAATTCTTGGAAATACTACGACTTCCTGGTCACGTGACTGTCTCGACTCACGCGCGAGAGAGAGGTCCAACGCGACGCGTCAGACGGAGACAGAGATAGTCAAATTCAGAAAAATACCCTTTTACATAAATTACGATATCTCGAAAACGGAAAGTCCGATCGACAAAAACCAAAAACCACTTTAAAGGGGAAGCTTCACCGCTGCCAACAGTGGTGTAATAATCAATAAAACGCTAGTAGATTTGAAACTACATGTGTCTAAAGTTTTAGTATTTTTAATGCGCGTTAATAGCCTTTTCTAAGGCAGAGAGCGGAATTTTAAAAATTGTCTTTTACTTAACTTACGATATCTCGAAAACGGAAGGTCCGATCGACAAAAACCAAAAACCACTTTAAAGGGGAAGCTTCACCGCTGCCAACAGTGGTGTAATAATCAATAAAACACCAGTAGTTTTGAAACTACATGCGTCTAAAGTTTAACTATTTTTAATACGCGTTTTAAGACAGTGGAAACTGAAGATTCTCTCCTTTCGTCTTTGCTATTCATATATTTCCTATTTACATCGGAAGTTAACCAGAATTTGATACTAAATTTTATCCAGTTTTTTTTACAAAGAAACATATTTCTCTCAGAAAGCAAACAGTAAGAGTAATAATGAATATTGAAAATTGCACGTATAAAAATACGAAATTTTCAGTTTCTAGTTTTGCATAATTGTTGCTCCTTTTGCAGTTCGAATATACTCTTTGAAAGTCAGACCGTTTGATCATTGGGCAAATACAAATTTAATTAAAAGTCTAAGTAAATTAATTTGACCCCGTTTCTTTGAATATTCCTTCAAAGCGTGTCTTCCTCCTGATAATAATTTTAATGAATATTTTACACGGCAAAGTAATCGTCCGATGTATATCGTACCGGAATTCGAATCTGAGAAGACTAATTAAAAATGCAATTTCCATGCCCCGTGTGTTTCCTAATAAATCTTAAATTACTATTCTGTATTCTCGATATTATTTTCTTCCTGCAAAACGATGTCACAAACAATACAAAGATCTTTCTTCAATATATCCTGCACCCTTTCATAAATTATCTTTTCCTTTCTGTGCAATTGTTTTTCCAAATCATACTTCTAAATGTCTATAGTCTCCAAAAGTTAAAGATTTCCATGTTTTTATCTCCTTAAAAGGTTTTAAATGATCTTTTTTCAATATATTCTGCACCCTTTCATAAATTCTCTTTTCTGTGGAATTGTTTTTACAAATCATACTTCTAAATGTCTCTAGTCTCCAAAAGTTAACGATTTCCATGCTTTAGAATCTTTTTATTTATTTCGCCGAAAATGATCATTTTCTATTCGTCGATCCTGCACACGCTCGCGACACAATGAAAGGGCCCTTAGAATATTTTCGACCGCGGTAAAATAATTGCAACAGCGAAATGCAAATTGGCCCTCGAGTAAAAATTAGTTCGAAACAAGAAGGCGCGGAAAGCTATCGGACGCGATCGTAGACTATTGCATCGCGTTTACGCAACAATTACGTTTATCGGGCGCAGCAGTCAACGAGGAGGATCCATCTTCACCGAAAGATCAGGCATTGTTTGATAATCAAGAGGAAACTGCTAATTGGATATCCGTCGAATCGGCGAGGCGGCAATCAGGCGGCCTGCTAATTGATTTATTCCTAATGAGCACGTACCGCCGGCGCTTTGCTTTGTACACACACGTGTCCCGTACGCGTACGATTTCGAGACGAGACTGAGCGCGGAGTGCGTAATTTGTAATGATAACGAGACGTTGATTGGACGCATTAACGACGGGGAGGGGGGATCAAATATTTTATCCGTCACAATTATTTTCGCGTTAGTCGCCCGACTGACCACCGATTTCGAACTTCCCATTCTTCGTCGTTGCTCGAACACGAGGTTCGGTGCAGTCTGTTTTCAAGTGGGAAGGGACAGTTTGGCAACAAGAATGAAGCTGCAAGTCGGAAATCTGTCGATCTGAACCTTTCTATAAATCTACACAAGATTAATAATATTGTGGATATCGAATAATTATTGATTTTTTGCACTAAAATCCAGCGAACGATTCGAATGTTCTATCTGAAGGTATACAAAGAGATTATTGCTTTAATCAATGTTAAGTATCACTGGAACTATCAACAATAGTGTATTTATTTGTACCAAAGAAATTAAAACGATGGACACGCGAAGGAATGTTTAATGCAATGGAAATAAGTGTTTGTTCGTTCTCTTATAGAAAATTATAGAAAATTCTCAAAAATTCGAGTTTTTTTTACAAGATCCAAAGAACACATTGAGTTGCTTAAATCAACGTGTGCCACAAGAAACATAGATACAGATAAGACGAAAATCAAGAATACCAATTTGTTGATGGAGGCTTCGTTAAAAAGTTATTAACAATTAAATTCAAAAATTTCAAATCGTTCTGGAAAAATTATTTTCGGTTTTGGGGGTCAATTACAATCATGTTTGGTGAATAGACATACCCCCGAAATCCTACGCATTTTCGAGAAAAAAATTCGAGAATGTGTGAAATTTGTCGATAAAATTAAAAAATTTCAAATCGTTTAAAAAAAATTATATTTGGTTACGAGAGTCAATTACAATCATTTTTGGTGAATACACATACCCACGAAATTCTATCCACTTTCTAGAAAAAAATTCGAGAAGGTGTGAAATTTTTCGACGGAAAAAAAAATTTCAAATCGTTTTGCAAAAATTATTTTCAATTGCGAGGGTCAATTACAATCATTTTTGGTCAATAGATATACTCCCGAAATCCTGCGCATTTTCGAGAAAAAAATTCATTACGGCTGGAACTTTAAACGTTAATAACTTTTTAACGAAGCCTCCATCAACAAATTGGTATTCTTGATTTTCGTCTTATTTTGGCTTCTAGAATCCCCCAATAAAATTTTTCCCAGGGGTGGTCGAACACCCTGTATAAATCACCCCAAAATCATTGTGAAATGTTTAACACTAACAATTATAGTGTATTTATTTGTACCAAAGAAATTAAAACGATAGATACGTGAGTTATCTTTTTAGTCTTCTATAGAAAACTCAGTCGACTAAATTTTGTACAATTTTTACCAGAAATTACGAATGGGTCATTTCGACTGTGGTAGTTCCAGCGTTATAAATTTAAAAAATAGTTTGTATTTCGCAAGAAAGTGTGTTCGTTGAACAAAAATGACCATTGAGATGTTGGACATCGCGTGAAAAGAATGTAAGCAAAGAGTCAGAGCTATGCACTGTTATTAAATTATAATTAACGTTGAGTGGTGATTTCCTGACGCAATTACAAAATCGTTTACAAACCGTCGACATTGCACCTAATGTTAAAAATCGATCGAAATTACCAGCACGCAATCGTAGTATAGCGTGTTCGCGCAAAAGAATTTTTGTTATTTTTAGACCGTAAAATAGTCACGTTCATAACACAATTTACTTTTACTGGAATAATTATTTTTCGGTGCTTTTTATTGGCAATTTTTTAGCGTAAATAAAACGCGACTGATATTTCCCGTAAAAACGATAAAATGTGTAATCAGATCGATTAAATTATATTAATTAATTATATAAATTAAATAAATTAATTATATATAATTAAATAAATTAGTTCTATATGATTAAATAAATTAATTTTAATTTATGGTGATCTTTCAGAAATTCTTAAAGGAAACATCGTCTAGAAAGGCTTGTGCAGCTATGACATTTGTCGCTTAATTGGCGACGTATCTTATTGATTAAAGTTTCTTTAATGCGTGTCCTCGGTCAGTCGTAAGTAACGTAAGACAGAAAATCAGTCAAGGGCGGGCTTTGAAAGGCAATAAGTTGCAAGATCGATTTTCACGATACACGAAGCCACGCAAGGAAGAATTTTCCTCCGCGTTTTCGGTTTATTTATGCATACAGGATCGCCTACTTCTCGATCTAACCACTCATCACATGCTACTTTGCTATAAAAATATATTTCTCGACGTATTTAAACGTAATTATCAACATAACCAAAGTTTATCACGATGGAAGTCACATATCTTCCCATAAAAAATGCTCGAGAGGCTCCATCAAAACGACACTTAAAAATATTTTATTAGACATGTATATTGGGTTAAAAAATATTATTTCTCGATGTAATTAAATGCAATTATCAATATAGCTAAAGTTTATCTCGATGGAAGTCATATATCTCCCCATAAAAAATGCTCGAAAGCCTCCATCAAAATGACACTTAAAAATATTATAGTAGACATCAATATTGGGTTAAAAAAAATTATTTCTCGACGAATTTAAATGCAATTATCAATATAACTAAAGTTTATCACGATGGAAGTCATATATCTCCCCATAAAAAATGCTCGAAAGCCTCCATCAAAATGACACTTAAAAATATTATAGTAGACATCAATATTGGGTTAAAAAAAATTATTTCTCGACGAATTTAAATGCAATTATCAATATAACTAAAGTTTATCACGATGGAAGTCATATATCTCCCCATAAAAAATGCTCGAGAGCCTCCATCAAAACGCCACTTAAAAATATTATAGTAGACATCGATGTTGGGTTAAAAATAGTTTAAATAAATTTTCTAGGCACTCGTTTTAGCTATTAGGAGGCAGCACATTGTAACTCGAAACAATTATTTTTTTTTAAAGTTAATTTTCCGTTTGGATAACCCTCGTGGGATTCAATAAATAGTATAAGGATCCTCAAGTACTGAAGGGAACGATAAAGGTAGCATAAACGTCGCTAAACGGAGGACAAAGGCGAAGCAGGGGGTCGAAAACAGATGTAAAGATATTTTTGTGTCCGAAAATAGCGGCTCCGTTTGGAAGGGATCGCGCGTGGGTGGAGATGAAAACACGACGCGCAGGATAAGTACGTTCAACTTGCTCTTAAATAAGACGCTGGGTTACCGCGTAAGTCTTCGAGCGGAGGCAGATGGGGAACAGGGGGAGAGGAAAAATTGCAGGTACATTAAAGAAACAAGAAGCAGCGGAGAAAAGGCGAAAAGGAGGTCAACGCTGAATGTTTCGCAAGAAACCGCACGATGCCCTGCAATTTGGTTGATATCGGGGATACGGTCAACGAGAGGAGCAAAAATAACGAAACAAACACAGAGGGGGCATACGAAATGCCGGTATACAAGGCGTACAGTTCGTTACAACGAGAAATAAACTGTCGAATAAATATTAAATTCAGAAACAGTTCTCAAAGCAATGGAAATGGTTAATAACTAAATAAATAGTTTAATCGAGGATGCAAATGCTTCGATGCACCAAGTAATTAGAGAAACTCTAAGTTAGAGTGAAACTAGGGAGAACGAGTCGAAAATCCTGCTCCTGCAAATTTAATTAATTTTCTTTTTTAATAGATTTTTTAATAGAAATTTCCCAGGAAACAATTGTTTCAGAATATTTATTATATCGCACATTAACATCGTAAATATTAACTGAAACGTATTGAGTATTGGTAACAGTATATTATCGTTGAACGAAATATGTGTTTTTATTCTACAAAAGCGTCTATATTTATTTTTTATAAATTCCCATTTGCATCGAAACTTTTATTCGTTAAAAGCGCCCTTTAAACTGTTCAAATTGAACCTATTCAAAAATTTTCAACCTCTGGAATAATTTGATGATTTGCATTAATAGCGATGAAAGTCGAATAAATATTGAATACAAAACAGTTCCCAAAGCAATGGGAATAACACGGTTAATAACTAAATAAATACTTTGGATCGCGCGTTCGAGGATGCAGATGCTTCGATGCACGAAGTAATTAGAGAAACGTAAGTTGGAGGTGAAACCAGGGAGAATAAGAACGATCCTGAATGGAACAAGTCGAAAATCCCAGCGCTGTTGTTTCGAGAAGTGTCATGAATATCGTGTAACAGAAAAGGAGAGACTTGGCTGCACGGAGCGTGAATGACACACGAACGATGCTCGAACAGCGTTTTGGAAAGCAAAAGGAACAGCGCAGCCAGCTCTGTAGATGGTCATGTGTGTCAGAAGCGCGATGCTCCGTCGGCATCCATGCTGGGATCAAGTGCGAATCACGAACGATCAGCTGGCGTGTTCCTTCCTACGCGAACTGGTCCACTGAATTTTTTAATTTCTCCTTCAAAGGTCGTCTCGTCATATTTAATTCGAAACGTTATCGAGCCTCGCGATACGTTCACGAAGGTCGGCGTTATAGCTCGAGAATCTAGGTCGATATTCAAACGAGCAAGTTTTGCTCTAATTTCAGTTGCAAACTGATACACTATACTTATGCTCAAACAATTTACTGTCAATATTCGTATGAATTAATTAATAGAAGGCATTACACAGAAGTGTATATAAAAATGTCTGCATTGGAAGTACATTTTTTAAAGAAACAGCTGTACTTATGTTCGAACAAATTACAGTCTATATTCGTATGAATAAATTAATAGAAGGTATTACACAGGAGTGTATGTGAAAATGTTTCCATTGAAAGTGCATTCTTTATCAAAATAGCTGTACTTATGTTCAAACAAATTAAACATAATTGTATTGAAATTCTTTAAAAAAATTGAATTCAAGTTTGGATCGAGATATTATATTATTATGCTCTATGTTTAAACAATCTACGGATAAGAGATAATCTGTCAATATTCTTATAAATTAATCAATATGAGTGTAGATATCACAGTTATAAATGTGTTTGTAAGTGGTATATAAAACTAATTACTTACGCGATAAATATGAATATATCCAAGACCATAAATATATTGTACGAATGTATTTCAAGTTATTAACATTTTTACTTCGAAACGTGTCTTGAAACAAGAAAAATTTGAACTTGCGTTGTTTCAAGTACAAAAATTCACGACATTATAATATTTATCATCGTATTAAATTAGGAAAAAATAATTTAGTAAACACGTTACTCTTCGACGTTAAAAATATTCAATTTCATATATACAAACTTGAAAATTGGAAAACGAAATTTGAATATTGTATCTACGCGAAAACACTTTTAACGAAAATAGAGCCAAACACGATCTCGTTCAGACCATTTTTAATTACATCTACCTCGAAATATAAAATTAAGGTCGTACTTCTATTCATTTTAATCTCGAGAATCTGTCCAACTCAGTGAAAACAATCTCCTAAAATTCTAACAAAATATTTAAATCCATGCTATCGAAACGACTAATATTTGAACACGAATAGAAGCGAAGGGTTTCGATAAAGCTCCGTCTCCAAATGCTAGTTTCGCATAAACAAATCTGTGAGTCCACCGTAGGATCCCAGAACGAAATAAAAACGTAAGAAAATGCACGATATGCCATTCGATACGTTCTTAGAGTCGCTCGAAATAAAAGTCTCGCGTAAGAAGGAGCTTCAGAGAAACAGTACCGTGTCGTTCAGATTGGAGTACGTGGACGTCAGCTCTTGAGCTGCCCAGGACGTTTCCATATCCATAGAGACTCCGTGGGCTTCCAGTTCCTTCGATCGGACGGATCCGTTTTTGATTTGCATCTTTCGTTTTGTCGTCGCTTCCTTGCGTTTCATCGTTGGCTCTCGGCGCGTCTGCTTGCATCAACGAATCATGCTACTTCGTGACCTTTCGGAGAGAGGATATCGCCTCTTGCAACCTTTCTATTTTCTACTCTACGCTCGAAGAAAATAAAATCCAACGCTGCTTCCCGTTTAGCGGTTCATCGTACGCTCGACGCGATAATTCATCGTCGAAACTTTGCACTCGCGTAACGTCAAACTTCGTTAAAATGGCGACCTCGTATCTTTCTTCTGATAAGTACAGAGCCGCTGTCGCGCAACACGAGACACGTTATTACGTCGCTTGTTCGAAGGTCGGCCTTCTGGGTGTCAAGTTCATACTCTTAGCCGACGTGAAAGTTCGCGAGAACTTGAGGATTCGGCGAACCAGCCTTCGAGATATTAATCCTTCGTAAATTAGCTATGCTTTTGAATAAATATGCAAAATCTCCTTGATCGTTCTTCGAACAACCCTCTTGACGAGAAATTAACGATTCACAATTATACGTCTATTTTAATTTCAAATCCTTTGATTCTCAATTCAAGAAATTCTTTGTCTCGTATAATTTTAGGAACTATTTCTTTCGATTGCATCCTGCAAATAGATTCACTTTGCGCGAGAAGAATTTCAGTATATTTAAAAAGAAGAGTTTCGAGAAGTATTTCCATCGATAAAATGTTCACATATTTGTCGAGTAACGTTCAAAGCAACCAAAATAGAGTCGTGTTTCTACAACTCGCTAATTTCATTTATAAATTCATTTAAAATTTCATTTATAAAATTTACTGGAGAATTGTTCGAATCTTTTTAGTGCATCGTTTATAGAATTTATTCGAAAACTTTTCGACGAAGTAGAGTGTTTATTAAATCTTCTTCGTAGCACGTGAATTCTCCGTGATAATTGATAAATGATTGGTGGTGAACGATTTCTTGAGACCTCTCTTGTGAGCAACAATTCACTGGTAACGACAATAATTCATCGACGACGAATACGAGGGTAATTTGTCAACTCACTATCAATTGACAGCTACGCTACGAGGGTCACTGTCACAACTGCGTTGCTACCGACGTCAGTTTGCTCGTGTTTCATCGACGCGCATGTGCGACGTTCCTACCCTTATCATGTTGACAGTGTATCCACTACGAATTGCGATTATCGAGTGAAGAAAACTACGTCGACGGAATGTTTCTGTTGGCATTCGTGGCCTAGTTTCGTCATAATATCAATTTTTCAATTCTAATGTACTTACAATTACACGATAAAACAACAAAAATTTCTTTCACAGACAAATATAAAGCATTAACACTATCAAACGTTTCTACATTGATAATGCTATTTTTTATAATTTATATATCACACCTATAGTTGTTTGCAATTTTATATATTTTTTAAAGAATGTATTACTTGAAAGATTAATTCAATTCTAATATATTTATAATTATGCGATAAAACAATAAAAGTTTGTTTCACAGACAAATATAAAGCATTAACACTATCAAACGTTTCTACATTGATAATGCTATTTTTTATAATTTATATATCACACCTATAGTTGTTTGCAATTTTATATATTTTTTAAAGAATGTATTACTTGAAAGATTAATTCAATTCTAATATATTTATAATTATGCGATAAAACAATAAAAGTTTGTTTCACAGAGAAATATAAAGCATTAACACTATCAAACGTTTCTACATTGATAATGCTATTTTTTATAATTTATATATCACACCTATAGTTGTTTGCAATTTTATATATTTTTTAAAGAATGTATTACTTGAAAGATTAATTCAATTCTAATATATTTATAATTATGCGATAAAACAATAAAAGTTTGTTTCACAGAGAAATATAAAGAATTAACACTATCAAACGTTTTTACATTAATAATGCTATTTTTGATAATTTATATATCATACCTATAATTATTTGCAATTTTATATATTTTGCAAAGAATGCTTTTGCAAAGAATTACTTTGCAAAGAAGATGAACGTTTTATTATACGGACGATCTCAAAAGCGTAGAAATGAAATATTTGCTATATTTCAATTTTAACATTGCCATCGAAGAATTATTGTATTCTTTATTCCAATGCTATCGCTATTTTTCATTCAGCTTTTGTTGCTATTATTTATTCGTAGAGATATCAATCTCCAGAAAATCAAGAAATTTATACTTTGTCTACGTTCTGTCCGTGCTTACATTATTCAAAACTTAGAAACACTTTGATTTAATCGAAACACTGTTTTTATTCGCAAGTTACATTTCACTGGTATTCAATTAACAACTTCACGTTGATTTTAATTTCAGCGTTGCACGTTTCGTAAATTCAGTAATATTTTTTAATACACGCAAGTAAACCTTGTTTGGATTGGTTTTGATTTTAGAAACAGCTTGATTCTATCTTGAGAAATTAAAACGTTATTTACTATTTTCATAAGATTTTTAATTGACAGCAGACGTGAAGGGACTGTGGATTTCTATTCTTTTCTATATGGAAACACGTCTGCTTTTAGTTCACACTCTGATAACGACGATCTTCTTTTGTCAGCGTTCCTTTTCTTTATTATTACATTTAGATTCAAATATTACATTAACATGATTAGTGAAAGTCACCGAGACGATGAACGAATATTAATAAATAAATTTCTCGACGATATAACGTTCAGGAGCCAATGTTTGAATTTTTACTCGTTTCAAAACGAAACAATCTTTCTCAAGCGTTTGTATATTATTCTATAAGACTATTAACGTCTTCAGAAAGTATTTAGTATTTGCCTCTCTTTAAACCTTGACATTCAACATGTAGGGACCAGCTACTCCGTCAATATTCGATGCTCAAGTCGTGTCAGGGAGCGTTTTAATAATATAGATGGATCCTCAAGTGTTTTATAGGTTCGAGGACATCAAGGATAACGCGCCAAGGCTTTGGCGAAGCCACGTCGATACTCCTAGTAACGTGACGTATCGAAATTGTATCAAACTCGAGGGAAATCAAGATCGTCGATAAGAAAACATAATGGCCTATCAAACTAATTCCGTCTGACATTCGAAGAATATTTCTTGAAAAGATATTTTCTCTTCTTCCATCGCTTCGAAGAAATATTACAATTTTATGAGCTCGAAATTTCTGAATACTCAAATTAATGATAGTTTTATCAATTACTGTGTGTATATGGTGGGTTCAGCTACATCTAGCTCTATTGTCTTGAAGAAATGTTACAATTTTTTGAGCCTGAAATTTCTGAATACTCAAATTAATGATAGTTTTATCAATTACTGTGTGTACATGGTGGGTTCAGCTACGTCAAGCTCTATTGTCTTGAAGAAATGTTACAATTTTTTAATCCTGCAATTTCTGACTGCTCAAATTAGTGATAGTTTTATTAATTACTGTGTGTATATGGTGGGCTAAGCCATGTGTATCATCGTAACTGAAACTTCTATCGTCTTCAAGAAATGTTACAATTTTTTGAGCCTGAAATTTCTGAATACTCAAAATAGTGATAATTTTATTAATTACTGTGTATATGTATATGGTGGACTTAGCTACATGTAGCATCCTAACTGAAACTTCTATTGTCTTGAAGAAATTTTACAATTTTTTGAGCCTGAAATTTCTGAATACTCAAATTAATGATAGTTTTATCAATTACTGTGTATATATGGTGGGTTCAGCTACATCTAACTCTATTGTCTTGAAGAAATGTTACAATTTTTTGAGCCTGAAATTTCTGAATACTCAAATTAGCAATAATTTTACTAATTACTGTGTGTATACGGTGGGCTCAGCTACGTGTATCATCCTAACTGAAACTTCTAACCTCTTGAAGAAATTTTTTACAATTTTTTGAGCCTGAAATTTCTGAATGCTCATATTAGCAATAATTTTATTAATTACTGTGTGTATATGGTGGGCTCAGCTACATGCATCATCATAACTGAGAATGTTCGAGCGTCGTGACCCACTGTACATCCTGTTCCATTCGAACGGAGCGCCATTTTGTTCGCGACTGCAATCCACGAATGAATTCGAAGGGAATTCGAGGCATTCGTCCCCGGGAACGTAGAAATACCAACTTTGTCAGCCGAGTGCAGAGTTCAAGGTTCCTCGAGAGCGTCGTCGGTCGTGCGAGATGATTGGTTTTCGGTCTGTCGACCATCGTAACGACTCCTACGGAGCCCCGGCTTCTCGTGATGCGCGTGCACTCGGATTTCTGCATTTTCGTTTACCACCGCGATGAACAATGGGGGGATATCGCAGCACTCCCGAGGCACGAAAGTTATTTTCTGAATTGCTCAGTCAACGAGTCGTGTGTGATCGATAGGAGCCCACCGAGCATCGAGAAGTCGCGAGACCGACACGTGTTTTGTCAGAAAATATCAAGAAACGTTGGAAACTACGCTCCGAGACTTTCGCCGATATTAATTCTCTCGCTTTTCGTACTCCCAGACATTCTTCGATCGTGTAACGAGACGAAAGTCGATCCTTCGCTCTCGAAATTTGTGTATTTTTCTGCTGGAAGATTCAGTCCCGTCTCGAGAAACGTAAAAATGTAATTTTTTTTAGAGGCATCGATGCACTGTGTGTTCCGTTATTCCGCGGTGGTATTGCAAATAAATGCAACTGGTTAACCGAGAAAGCGTGAAAGATATATTAAAAGAGTTTATTAAATTGATAGAAAGATTCGGGATTCGAGGATCAGAACTTTGAATCAAATTGCTCGAGTTTAGGCGATTCTCTAAATTTATTTGCAGACACACGCAGTAGTGGAAATTACGTTTAAACAAAGGAAGAAGAAAATTATCACTTCGAACTTGTAACTTTCGCGCTCAGACACTTCAAATTCAGTTTCTTTTTAGAATTTCTTGGCAATTTTTGCCAGCAGTTTCGCTCAAAGATGTTACTGGATCAACTTTTCTTCTTTTCTGCTGGTCTCCGTCGCTCGATATTGCTTCTCAACAAGTAGTCTAATTGAGTTAGTGTTAGACGATGAAGGTGCTCTCAGCTTGTCTTCTAAAACTTTTCGATAAGCAATCGAGCAACTTCGCAGTTCACTTTTAATCTTTCCACCGTGCAGTCCTGTGGCA